TCAGCAACAGCCTACTGTGGGAGAGAACAAACCATCTTCCAAATGAAGAGAGAATTAGTAATAGATGCTGAAGGTGGGTAGCACACAAATTACGGAACTCATCAAACTACATCACGGGCAAACGCTAACTTGGAATCGTGAGTGGAAACAGAAATGAGGAAGGCCAGAGAATACACTACGACGGGAATCGGAAGCAGACATGCAAAGGATGAATAGTAACTCAAAAGAACTGGAAAGGATTTTCCAGGACAGAGTTGGATGGAGAATGCTGGTGTGCAGCCTATGTTGCTCCACGAGGGGTAACAGGCGCAAGTAAGTAGGAAGTGAGTCTACTCTTCCTTCCCTCATATTAACTATGTTCTTTTCATCTTTCTTAAGAGTTTGAGGGCGCCTATGTTTTTTATCCCACTCAGGTTGTTTGGGAATAGTCTCAAACCAGAAAGTAGTTAAAGCCCAATAGAACCGCTTAGTTCATTATTTCAATTACCTGGTCTGAGATTGAATAATAGTCCGGTCTTTTTGGAATAACTCACTGTCAGCTGACATTTTAATACTTGTTTATTGTATAAGTCTGAACAGTTGTCTGGTCCCTCTCGTTTTCACTCGCTGTCCAACATCGCTTACCATCATTCGTGAACATTTTTCCGGTCTTTGTTTTATATTACTCATCACTTTATCCGCAGCCTGTTGGGATGATTTTTCAATTAATCAACTCACAGTTGTTTAAATATCACTGCCAAAGTATATCTGAGTGAACACTTTCATAATCGATTACAAGCTTCTCCAGTTTCTAAGATATACTATTGACTGTTTTATGGTTACGCTAAGCTCTAATAGCTCTTTCAGGTTTTGACTCTTCTATGCCAGGTATGAAGCATATTTATAGGGAAAAATACATGAGCATGAAAAATCTGTTTGTCAGTAGATCATAGACTGATTATACACTGGAAAAAAGGGTATATGAAGCTAATATTGATAAAGGTTAATGCCATAGTGTATTTGCAATTATTGATGTTACTTAAAGCGAAATCTAGGCAACACAAAACTAAACTCAGGTTATAAATGAACAACAAATATATATCCACATATAAAGCATTCAATTCACCCATCAATGCATAGATATATAGTTATAATAATAGTAATTATAATTATCAATTTATAAAGCTGTTTTCGTTGCACAAATGACACCAGCTAAAGACAAATTGAAAATCACTGATTACTATACAAGACACCCGCAAAGTATTCATGGATTTTCAGTGATCTTCCGCCTGATAATAGTTAATGATGAAAACTAACTTTATATTGAACAGCCCTCACAGATATACCGATAAAAAAAACAATCTATTCGAACTTTATAGTCTTTGAAATAATGAAACCATATGATTGAAAATGATAAGTAATTTCTTCTTAAAATATACAAGGAATTTACTATGCTTTCAAAGTGTTGAGCACCTTGTTCTTAACTAATTCCTTCAACCGTTTCAATATTATTTCTCCTATTAATTTTATTATTCTGTCTTTCTACAATCATTCTGAAGTAAAGACTACATTGTGTACTTTGATAAAACAAAGTTCTACATCTGCTTTTTCAGGTCCTCATAAACAATGCTCTATGTTTTGCACACCTTTCTCTTATTTAATCTTTTCGTTATAAGTTACGTAAACAATTATAAGAAACAGGCTACTGATTTTAGCCTAAATCAAAATTAGTTCAAACTCTGTCCCGTTTCGAGCAAAACTGAATTAATATTGCAAGAGCTTGGAATTCATTTTATTAAAAAATTAATTTTTATAATTTCTGTTTAATCCTACTTTTGTACAAAAGATAAATATCCCGTTCGTAATAATATAAATATGAAACACTCATTGACTTGCTAAGGAATTTTCGCATACATATATACGTACATATTAATTTAAGATCCTAGTGTATAATGGTTTACTGGGTTATAAAGTATTTACAATTTCTGGTCGCTTCCATTACCGTCTGGCGGATGAGGTGAGACTTGAGCTTCTAACCTGTTGAACGCAAATTCATTCACTCATCTATTGAGCTGTGGCTTGACTATTGTTTGTCAATAATCTCCTACTGTATAAAGGTTATATATATAGGATAAAATCATCATCAACATGTGCATGGTATGTAGTAGGCAATACATGTTACGTTTTAATTTTTACACACAACAAACTAAAAAATTGCCTAAAATAAGTCATATGTATACATATATACATGTATATAAATAGATACACTGAGTAAACAAACTTTGTCCAGTTTAAATTTTATAGGCTTGTCGTATCATTAAGTCGAAATAAGCATCATTGTCAATTGATGCGCTGATACCAGTGTAATAATTGAAAAATTCTTCTCTTGTCACCTGAAATATTTAAAGTCAGCGTTTTTTTGTCTTGCTTCATCACAATTAATATAGAAGAAAGACACTTATCTTTAAAATATTAATGGTTAACGATTACGTAAATTGTGTTAAGTAAAAATGTTAAGGAAATCACAACTACCGAGAAATAGCTATTATTCTGAGTTCAGCATTCGACAAAGTTGAACATATATACATTCTCAAAACGTCGGCAAGTAATGGGAAACAATTATTCATTTCTGCATTCGAATATCCAGTAAATGTTTAAAACTGTTATCTTATTTTTCCCAAACCAATTCTTTACCAAAATATGTCGATTTTTATGGCAGGTAGAATTAAAACAATCATAAATTTCACGTTGTCCCCGTAAAAGCTCGTTTTCTTTATAAGTTTCAAATTACTACTTTAAAGAATAGATTATTTATACTGAATTATATGATATGATCCGATCACATGTCAAAGTTGAGGAGCTATTATTGTTATGCATTTGTGATGACAATTGTAGTATGTAATGGCACAATTTTAAAGTGTCTCAAATCTAAAAATCCGACAAACGCCTGCCACAAGTACTCCATTTTTATATTTAAAGCAAAATATATTTCACCAAATAGCTTTTTGCATCATATTTCTGATCGCTATTTTGAGATAACTTAATGTTTAACTGAAAACTATGCATTTTTTCTGACTTCAAATATTACATCTGTAAATCTAAGATCAAAGCAACTGTAGTGTTTTGAGCATTAAGGAAAGGATTCAAAATTATAGCGATAGTGACAAATGAAATTAAAAACAGTAGGAAAATTACTGACAAGAAATATTCAGGATTTCTGTTCATAATGTGGTCAGAAAACAATATCGTAAGATTTGAAAAAAATGAGTGAATGTAAAAAATATTCATGTTCATAAAAAAATAAAATCATATGCTCAAAACTGCTTACAACTTCATCAGCATTGTTTTGTGGTTGAAATGTTTTTAAAAATTCAACTAAAATTTCATCTTCAGTTTTTCTCCATTTATAAACTTTGGATGGTTTTTTACATTATACACGCCTTTTAAATCTTCAATCTGAAATAAGTAATTCAAGTAATCAGATGGATTGTTTGATTAACGAAACCACCGGTAGACAACTTACATAGTAGTCAATGATCTCAGTAAAAATGTGGTGTATTCTTGAATATAAATGTAAAATGATTGCACCTAAAAAACTGGACCTAACTCAATGTAAAAAACGTTTTGGCGTTTTTAACTAGTGTTTAATAACAACTACATCTAATGTATTAAGTGACATCCAAACTTTTCCTCGAATTCGGATGCCTATGGCTTAGAAAATCTATAATTTTCAAAGTTTATTACATCTACAAAAATGGTCCATTTACATTCGTGAAACCTCTTTATGATTGCACATTGCGCTCTTGAAGTTTTCTAGATTATTCGACTGCAAGAATTAAGTAAGTTAAAAGATGAATAGTTCATAATAACAGGTACTTGAGAACATCGCTTGGTAAATCCATATTTAGAATCCCATTAGCTTGACACATTCTAGCTTTAAACCTCAAAAGAGGACTATGCTATAGAGAGAAATTGCAATAAATCAAAATAATTTATTACTGTCCTATGATAGGACTACTTGACGTTAAATATAGACACCAAAGAAGGTAGTCATTTTCTGCTGAAGCTACCATCATTTAAATACTCAGTACATGAAAAATGTTTAACAAGAACTCAGTCTTTAAGTAATACTGAGACACAGTCAAACTAAATTATTTTAAAGAGCATTCATGATATCATTCCTCTATGCACCTTATTACAGTCAAAAACAAAGCATTTAATAAGTGTTCAAAGTAAAGTGTCGGTTTTCCCCAACTGTTAAAATAGTATCTCATTTCTATCACCTATATCTATGAACAAAATGTACATATTTTACTGGTATAACACAAACTGTCACGTCAGAATACTTGTTTCGAAATTGTTTTAAAATTGTAGTCACTTCCATGATATCAATCGCTCACATATTACTAACTGTAGCGAAAAAAGATAAAACATCCTAATTACGATAGAAAACTCACTGAAACTTAAAACGTATAGCTTCAAGATATGTATAAATTGCTATGCTAAACACAGTTTCCATAACCTATGATATAATCTGTAGAGGCCAAATAGATCATAGGTCATGAGATTATGCTTTATTATAATGCAAGGTATTAAGGAGCATTTGGGAAATTTAGGTAATTGCAGAAAGCGAAATAAAGATGAAAGTGAACAAGTTTTCAGTTCTACTATGTTAACTTTAATAAAAGTTAGTTATTCTTAATAGTTAATATCACTTTGGTAAAGATATCTAAGACTTTATTACGTTTTGTGAATAAAGGTACGAAATGGCTATCTGAACAAAGAATAAAAATTATTGGTGTGTTTTAGTGAAGATGTAATAATTTAATAAGCTCTGTGTACTTAACTTAAGGAGCTTCATTTATGCTACCCCATTTGCATGTATTTACTTACATATAAGATTAATAATTTGATGTACTCTAATTGTTTAATCCAAGTAAAGGTAACAAAAGTTTATTGAGATTACAGTTAATACATTTCGTTTAATATACCCTCTCTCGAGCACCAAGAATAATAGACTAATTTTTCAATCTGATTTAAAATTTGTATGTGTAGAAATTTCTCTGAGTAGTGGACACTGTAAATGCGAACTTATCATAAGTAAGCAATTACCTTAAAGAGTCTGACTAAGAATGTGTTTTAACTCTAGCTTTTGAAAGCAACTGGTTAATTCCACTTCCTTTTCCAATAAACCAATAGTCTTTCCTGGGTTTTATATTTCTGAACTCCCCGACATAATTTGTAAACTGAGGTGTGGATCACGGTTGAATTCGAATATGATAATAATAACCGAATTAACTATCGTCGATAAAGGTTATAACGATTTCAGTTGAAGTCGAATGATGTTTTATAATTTTGTGAATTTGGGTGCAAAATATTCTAATTCCACACTTAGAAATCTTACAAATGATTTATTAACGGAATCGAACCCATACTATTCACCTAGGGCTAGTATAAATGACGAGAGAAATAATTTATAAAGGAAACGTACAGTTATTGCACCATCTTTCGTCTTATCCATTTTCAGAAATGCTTTGTTCAGTACGTCAAGTCTACATTTGCTCATAGGAGGCTTACACTTTAACGAATAATCGAATCTTACTCTTAAAGACATTAGAAACTCATCAAAATCAATAAATCCACTCTGATCTGCGTCGATTTCATCAAAAATCTCTTTAATTTCATCTTTGGACAGATCCACACCGAAGTCTTTGCACCCCTTCGAAAATTCCTTGAAATCGAGCTTTTTGTTTCCGTCATCATCAATAATTCGAAATTGTCTATTGTCAAGAGAACAATAAAGGCCAACAGTATTTAGTTATTTACCTTCCTATACCGGCTATCCCGGATGCACCACGTAAAAGACACTGGTATCTGAGCTTTTCAATCGGCTTGAGATCTTTTGCCAGTTGCTTTCTTGCTTTTTCTTGCAACAACTTGTCACTCCTTTCTGTTTCCATTACGGGAATCAGGACGCTAGTACAAAAGCGAGCATCGATACGAACCAGATAATTTAATTAGTTAAACAAATTTCGAGTGATTTGACAATTGTCTGATCAACAGATTTCAAAAAGAAACTGAAGTTGAGTAACATCAATTAAATGGAAATGTGACTTAAAAGTTTGAGTTATGATAATATCTCCGAATTTCTAGTGAAGAATGAAAAACCTAGTTACACTGAGTGATGTGAAGATGCCACAGATATTCAGTGTTTCGCAATGCAGTTGTCCGTAATAAATTTTAAACGAAATTTATCGAACCCAGCTTAACTAAAGTCAAGCATGAATGAGCTCGATTATATATCTGGAAGATGGTCGGTGCGTCGAGAATTATGAAGGGCCAGTGAAATGTCATTGAGCCTCAGCCAAACCATCCGGCAGTTGGTTCACTGAATACCCAACCGTTCGTCGATCCCATCTAGATCAAGGACAACCAGGATACATCAGTTAATCAAACTTAATGGACTAACCCATGAAATGGTGGTCATCACTCTAACTAATATATTTATGTAGTAACGCCCTTTGTGTTATACGGTCTTCAAAGCAGCAATAGAAACTTGATACGGTTAAGAGGTAAACCACGTCAGGTGCTGACCTCGGGGTGTGACTCCGAAGCCAACTATTGGTCACAGCATTTCCATCTACCCCAAGTAGGCCCCCAATCATTTGACATAAATCATAAACCTAAGTAATGCACAGCATGGTTTAACCAAGAGTGATCTGGTGAGGATGCCTGATTACGCGTCTTTAGTTAGTATGTGCCCAGTAATAAATCTCGGTTCGCCGTGTTATTCTTCGGTTTTCCCTCATTTCCAGATGTCCCGGAAATGAACAAAATGTAAATGTGAGTGCAGGTAGAAATTCGATTTTGCTTGCGTAAGGAAGAGAGTCGTAAAAATACTGTTAATTCTTCGGTATACATGCACTGATCTCTTTTATCCAATTATAAGACTTCACGAATTTTAAAAATTTATATTATATTCAGGTTATTTCCACACATATTGTCTTATATAAAAATGGTATTTTTTGGTGTTATATTACTACTAAACCTTAAAGTTTGTTATCGTACTGACGTTTTAAATTACATTGAGTGATGTTTCACTTCATCCACCTAAAGAATAACACATTCAGAAATACACATTAATAAAAAAAACGGATTATATGAATTGACTCGTATATACTTGAATTATAAAAATCTACTTGAATTTACAGCTGTCACTTATACTGTTAGTAGCTATCTGATATTTGCGCATCTAAAGATGTCACGAATACTCGGGACTAGACAACGCTTTTGTCTATAACACCTTTTCATTTGAAAGACCCAGTTTCTGCCAAACCAAAACTTGGGAATGTGTATTTGGAGGTTTGTTGAGAATCCTTTAGTCTAAGCTGGCTAGTCGTTGCAAGATATGTGTGTAGTGAACGTGTACTGTCATTGGTCCTAACCACACAATCTTCAAAGCTAAATACGAGATTACTGGGAAAATGAATGTTCAACAATTAACACGAAAAGGTCAACAGCGGAGCGGGTAGAAAGCATTCATTCAATTCAATCAGACGGCATTGCTCAGCCTTGCATATGTGGTCATTTTGTATAACTTGTATTTACTCGCATCAAATTACTCTTTCTTTGGCTTAAATGTGTTTTTAGAAACCCGCAGATATATTGCTTATTGTTACGATGTAATAAGTCAGAATAGACAATAATGCGACTACCACGTAAGATCTCATAGATTAAGTAGTCACATGTGGTGTCTGAATGAACTAATGATTCCTTTGTACTCTTTGTAAGATCCATTTTGAATGTTTTGTGTGTTGGTGAAAATCCCTCCATGTATATACTTGTGCTTTGTTCCTATTGATCCCCTTAGTTGTACATTGCTGTCTTTTGATTACATTTGAATTGTTAATACTTGTATTTTTTATTATAGTTTTTGTTTTTCTTACGCATTCACTAAGTTTGTGTTTCTTCCCGAGCTGCATCTGTGTTGTTTCACTTGTCACTTGTTCTTGGCAGTAGCCATATTGATTTGCTCCTCCTTTTGTGCGTGTGTTCTATCCAGCCAGGATAGAATAACGTTCATTTGTTGTGACTGGTAATTTTCCCTCATCTTTTATCAACTCCTTTATTTATTGTAATTTAGATTTATTGATTGAACAATTATTGGTTGAATAGCCGGGTGGTAATATTTGTTTAGGTAACGATTTACATTTAAATTTATGATGAATTATAGAACCGCTTTTAACCCGATTACTTGTTTTGATTTCGACGGGAAAGGGCGCGTGTCTAAAGTCCCCGGAAGGCTATTCTTCACCATCCAAACCGTAGTTTGGATTCTACACTCTTTGAGTGCTCAATTTCGAATTTCAAACACAGTACATTCTTTTATGCTTTTCAAGTACTTCTTGATGCAATTGCATTATTCCTGGGATTGCTGGTCCGTACTTTAACTCAAATACTCCAAATTATCATATCACATCAAGACAAATCTACATATTTTGGGGTTAGGTTTACTATTATAGCAGTACTAATAACGAACTACACCATAATTCTATTACTGAAAACCCAAGTAAACGAAACCAATTTATCGTTTAGTGCAAAATTACAGAGGGTCTTTGTAAATTGTAGAAACCGTACAATCAATGCTTCATTCTCACATCTTTCATCAGTTACCCTTTACAATATTTATGATTTTTTCAATGCTCAATTTCATTCTGTCTCCTCTTCTGTTTTATTCAGTCCAATCTTATTAATCCTCTTTTCACAGGCATTCCACTTCTGATTGGCGTATTATATAATGCATGCGTCTATCAACGTAAATAGCATACGCCAAATCTGTAACACGGCGTATCCACTCGTGATCTGGTGCGGATGTGTGACTGAGCGCTTTCATTCAGTCGTGTCCAGTAAAACTAATGATCTCTGCATCAATGTTGAATATTTACAGTAATATTTAATCGTGAGACCTACTTGCCCCTACAGTACAATCACACCTTTTTGGGGTGTAAGATTCTTTTAAATGTTCTGTGTGTAAAAATCCCTCAATGTAAACACTTGCAGTTAGTTCCTACTGATTCCTATGGATGTACATTTTGTAGGTCTTTTTATTCCACATGAGTTGGCAATACTTGTATTTTCTTGTAGTTTTTATTTTTTCTTACGGCTTCACTTAGTTTCTGTAGCCACCCACTTTTATCACGAGAACGATATTGGTGTAATCGAAACAATTATTATTATAACCAATTGTACCAGGGATTGTTTTGCCGTACTTGTTTGTTTATCTGTGCCAAAATACATACATTCTTCTGTTGATTGTGACCTCGCACGAATTCGGTTGCGCTCAGTAACCACACTTGTGACCTAGCACGATCTAGGTATTCTTTCAATACCACGAGATCGCTAACAAATACTTCTCGACTACAGCCAACAACTGCCTTCTGATATTTGGCCTACGGGGGATCTTATCGGTCAACTGGCACGTAGTCTTCCTGTAGTGGTGATCATAGTCAACCGCGACTCGACACCAGACTACAACTGATGAGCCAAATCTGAGAATACGTCTCAACCTCTGGAGAATCTCCCAAAGAAGACTACTGCGGTGAGTCTGTCATCTATCTATCCACTTTTATTGCACATTTTCGTATCGATATTTTTCAATATATAAAATCCGGACAACATCTGATATGGTAGATAACGATAAGTGTGGTATTAATACAATAGACTCCGATGTACGCGTACCGAATCTTAGGCGTCTCTCATTCGCGTGACGATATAATCCACGTTCTATCTGAGAAATTCCCCAATTAACTAAACCACTCGAGGTGATTCCATCGGTGACTAATCGTGTGATAAATTACATAGTCACCCTCAGACCCCCAGTCACGACAAAACCTCGCCGACTGGCACCGGACAAATTAGTTTTGATAATTTACTAGCTACTGGTATTGTTCGTCCTCCTCACAGTCTCTAGGCCTCACCTCTTCACATGGTGCGCAAAAAAGATGAGGTTAGTTGGAGACCATTAAATGTAGTTACACGCTTTGATAGCTATCCCATCCCACACACACTCGACATCACGGCATCGCTCAAGGGCACGACTACTTTTTCTATGATCAATCCGTCGCTCTTGAAGATATTGAGAAAACCGCTATCGCGACTCCTTTTGGTCTGTTTTAGTTCCTACGAATGCCATTTGGATTACGGAATGCTGCTCAAACTCTTCGAAGGTTTATCGATAGCATAGAACGAAACTTATATTTTGTTCACATCTATATTGATGACCCGCTAATCGCATCATCAAACGTAAATGAACATTATCAACATCTTACACTATTATTCCAACGTCTTTCAGATAACGGAATAGTGGTCAATCCGGACAAGTGTGAACTGGGCAAATCGAAATAATTTTCTTAGGTCACATCATTAAGCAAGAGGGTATTTTACCTTGCGAGGACAAAGTACATGCAATAAGGAAGTACACCGTACCGTCTACACTCAAGAAACTGAAGGCATTTCTCGGTTTGATTAACTTCTATCGACGTTTCATCCCACACTCAACAGAACAGTTACGGCCATTAATCGATTTACTTCGCGGTAATCCACGCAAATTAGAAATGAACGATGCCACACGTACTACATTTTCAAAGATCAAAATGGCTCTGGCTCAAGTCACACTCCTCGCTCATCCTGACCCATCAGCTACGCTTAGTATAGCGGTTGATGCATCGGATTTTGCTATAGGAGCCGTCATGCAACAGAACATCTCCGGTAGTTGGCAATCTCTCGAATCTTTCTCACGACGCCATACGTTCCTATAGATATTGTGGGACCATTGCCACCATCGCATGGGTGTGATCACATACTCACGTGCATCGATCGTTTTACAAGATGGTCTGAAACTATTCCCATCATGTCTATTACGGTGGAGACAGTTGCCCACCGCTTCGCAGAACAATGGATAACGGTGTACGGTTTTCCCTCAACTGTGACGACCAACCAAGAACAACAATTTGAGTATGAATTATTCTCCTCACTGACCGGCTGCTTGGTACGGAACGCATACGCACTACTGCCCACCACCCAGCATCAAACGGTTTAGTTGAACGGTCTCACTACCAACTTAAAAAAGCTCTACGAGCACACAAAACAACTATTGGTACGAAACCTTGCCGCTCGTCCTCTTAGGTATCAGAACGAGCTTGAAGCCAGATATTCAGTGTTCCGCCACTGAACTTGTATACGACACGACACTGCGTCTGCCTAAGGAATTTCTCCCACCACGGAGCAGTAACGATTTCGGTGAATCAGACTACGTCCAACGATTGTCTGAATATATACGAACACTGCCTCCGATGTCAACTCGATTGCAGGCTCACGAGGTACGAACAAGACTACCGACCCACACTCCGGTCGCCGGGTACGCCTACCCGTACGCTATCGCGACTAGCCGCGCAATCAACAACGGATACGGTATTGAACTCTATCCCTATACTTCATGCATGCTACACCTTTTCTCTTTTTCTTTGATTTTTTTATCCTGAGCCCACGCCTCCGACCATCGCACGTTTGGTACCGTCGAATTCCATGTCGGCGAAGGCTGACCCGATCACTCACGCTCTTGCCAACGCACTCAGTCGATATTCTGGTTTCAAATCTGTCTGGCATATGTTTGGTCTCACAATTGGTTGTTATGGTCGCTTCTGTTTTCTTCGCTCAATGTTGTTCCGTCCTACGTCTGTAGCGTTTTCTGGTCCGGACCCCTACAATCGCAGTCCTCAGATCTTGGATGCAAACCACTCTGGTGTGGTACGATAACTCTAGCAACACCTACGGCACGTTTCTCTTGGTACCATTCTACGTAAAAGACTGTCGGGGGCAACTCGACGATCACTTCCTGCTCAGCCAAACCTTTCGTCCTACAATCGCACGTTTACCGATCAGTCCACGAACCCAATCACTTTGTTTTGGTTTCAACCGGGAAAGGGCGCGTATCTAACCCACGTAGACTGTTATTCTTCAGTTTAAACCTTAGTTTGGATCTAAGAGGGGATGTTGACAACCCTAAGAAAAAGCCAACAATAAGTTTCGACCCTACGAGCTTTCCTTTATAAACACCCATCTGGCAGCTTACTCTGTTTGGCAGCATCCTGTAATCCTGGTAAAAGAAACAATTAAGTGTACTTGAATGTCAAAAAAAGCTGGAATTTACATAGAAAAGCGACATATACAAAGAGAGCTTGGTATTTATGTGCATACATACATATAGTGAAAAATTTCATGGTTTTCGCTTACTTTGTATGTATCCTTTTCTTTTCAATTTACCGGCTGGTGTACGTAGAATACATAAACATCAAGTATTTAGTTTTAGTATAGGGTGGTCATGTACTGATCCTAGTTAGGCAACTTATCGGGTACCTGGGAGCACTAAACAGCTGATTCGTTCCAGTATGAAACTTGGGAGTCGGCATCAATGAACCTTGCATCTGAGAAATAAACCCAAGACTTCCAGTCTTTCCTGTGAACTAACAATATGAATCCACATAACTAGGAATGAAACTGCCATCCAGTGCTTGGCAGCTAAACTTGCGTTAATGCTTCATTGTTCTTGGTTCTGTGTAATTCAGAACGTCCGTCAATTCGATTTTCAGAAGGCGAATATCTCGTGCACTAATCGCGTCTCCGTAAAAATACAGGGAATCAGTTCCAATCTGACATTTCCGAATGTTTACGGTAATGCTGTACTTTTGCAGTCGTCCGAAAACAAGGTCGAGATGCTGAAGATGAGATTGTCTGTACGAAATTGGGATTTATCTGTCATCCATATATGCGTGTATGAAGTTGAAGTCTCTAAAGACATCGATGAGTCTCTGAAAATTTTATGTGGCATTTTTAAAGTGAAGGGCACTCACAGAAAACCATAGAGTTGCGAGGGTTTGATAATGGCCATTTTAGGAATGTTTTCTGTAGCCATGGGTTGTACATTTCAATCAGATCGATTTGAGAGAACGATCGTATCTTTCAGGGTAGCCGTGTGTTCGTGAATGAGCGGTTAGGGGTAACGGTAGGTAGTGGGTTTCTCATCCAGTCGCTGATAGTCACAATGTTCAAGGGAGATGTAAATGGGCCGTTTTGATGGCGGAATAATTTCCAAGTATATTATGTGCTCAAATTAGATTTTGGAAAACATTAGTTTTTCGATAACCCATCGGTGCGCTTCCAAGAATACAGGTGATCCTATAGTCATGATGTGGTCTACAACACTAGTGACTATGCGTGATAATTTTAGTCAAAGTTGGCACACTTCAGAGTACTCGTTCAGCATCCGTGGGAGGTATATATCACTTTTTATTCTTAACCGTAAATGGACATAGCCTGTTACCAGAAAATGAAGCTCCACATATAGATAAATTGGTATTTCCATCCAGTAACCTCCGCTTTCCTGGGTCAATGAGTAGATTATGTTGTTGTAGCAGGTTCACACCAATGTTTGACATAGAAATACTTACAACAACGAAAATTAGGTGAATGAATTTGCATAAATTCACGTCAACATAAATGTCTCTTACCACATGTGGCGAACGGTTTTCCATTTGCCGCCTATAGGTTGAAGACCGGCTCTTGAAAACGGTCAATGTAAAGCGTCAATGTAAACGAGATACAGAACTTTCGTCACCACATCGGTGATGTATAAGAGAAGACTGTTTCCGCCGGTTACAGTTGCAGTAAACGCGTCTCGGTGGGGAAGTTTTTAGAAAGATTATCCATGTTAGACAGATTTACGATTGAGAAACCGATGGATTTTCTGAAATTCATAGAAGACGTACCATACGTTTTTGCGGTACCGACATTAATCAGGGTTGCCTGCCTCTCGTAGTATAGGGAGACTTTTCCTTACAGTGTAAACTGTTGTGACTTTATGTTCGGCTAGTTATAAAGCTTTTTATCCGTCAATCGAAATACGACGTATTCACTCTTGTACTTTACTAAAAAATGACGTTCGAGCGGTCTGATAACTTAGTGTCCTTATTGGTCCTTTGCTCCCCAAGACAGTCCAGTTGAGTCCAGAACACCAATAACAGCTTCCGCTATGCGAATCATTTATTTCAGACATACTTGGTTTATATACTAGCCAAACAGACCGCATCGCATTATAAAATAGGAAATAACATTTATACACGATAAAGCTGAAAGTGGCTTTGAACGTGGGAGATGGTAATCAATAAACTGAGTATAATTTAAGGACAGTGAATCGTACAATAATTGATCTATAGGTGAAAACAAAGCTTATAATAAGATGAACATAAATATACACAATCTAGTAACTGAATAGTTATACAGTTAGAATATATTAGTAATATTAGTCCACTAATGGTTACTCGTAATTTAATCTTCGCTAGGATATAACACCTCCCTCTTTTTTGAAGATCCAGAGTTTAGATCATGATTTTAAAAAGCTTGTCTGTAACTTAAAATTCACCAACGTCATATATATATATATATCTAACATGTACCACAGTTCTGGGGGTCTTGATAGTCTCCTGAATCCGGTCGGTAGATATATTCAGTTCGTTTACGTCGTTATTGTAGAGTGAGACAAGAACCGCGTGCATTTCTTGGGGAAGCTTGGACAACAAGAGCTATCTGAAAAGGCTCTAGGCAAAGGTTCGTCGACAAGTGGCCTCTCTCATACGTAGCGTTATTTGTTGCTGAGATGTGTTGGGACTTTACGTTGTAGGAGAGGTCACCTAATATTTGTCAGTCGGTTCATTCTCGACGTCTAAAGATAACCTCCTTTGAAGTGTCGAAAGGTTCAGAAATCACCAACAAATATAGTAGGTGTGACGTATTAAATAAAATCGCTCGTTAGCGCCTTCACAACTGCACGTGATCATGTGAGTCTGTTGCGCCTTACCCATGAAAGTCAGCTTCTACGTAGCAGGAGACATAATATACAAATGGGAGAAAAACATTCAAAAATACAAGAACAATAATTTAAAAATATTAAAAAATAATATACTGAGTTACAACAAGGAAAGAACTAACAGTATATTGCTTGGCGTTCCAGATCACGTCGGGCTCATTACTAAAGATGCCACAAGTATTCGGATTTCGACGACTTTACACGTAATATCTACGCAACCAAACTACACCAACCAAGTCAAATCGGAAGTTGAAAATCAATGGGTCCGAAGATGTATTTGGAGGGCTATTGACATTTTGAGATTGTCTATTAATTGTAAGGGATACGTAGCACAGCATACTCACTAGTAACCTGGTGCGGACGTGTGATTGAGAGCCTTCAGCTATTTGTGTCCAGTAAAACTAAAGAAGTCGGAATTAATGTCAAAAACTCACAAAATTATCTATTTTTGCTAATCATTTGCCGCTACAACCCCTAGGACCCACTTCCGCAGCCTTGAGGCCGGTCTAGTACTTAACATGAAACCTTGAATAATCTAACACTTCTTTGCAGGAAAAAATAATTTGATTTCGTGAGGAACTAAAAATGTTTTTGCTTTATTCTGATGAATGTTCCCATATTTATTCCTAAGCTTATTGGCGGTGCTTGAAAAGTGGTTTTACGAATGTATGGGTACAAGTAGTTTGTGAGTGTTCCTGAATATACTACAATTTCCTGTTGTCATTTCGCTATAGGTACCTAAGAATGATCATTGTTTTTCATAATATTTCTGTAGGGAGCCATGGAGCTTAATGGGATATATAGCCAATCATTTGATGAGCAAGTGCCTAATGGGTCTCATAGTACGGGATCTGGAAGCGCAACTCAAGATTCAGGTTTGTCCCTACTTAGCAATTTTTCTGTGATTCATATTGTATCCCCACTGGTCAGTATACTAAAAGCAGTACAAGGACAAGAACCACACAAAGGTAGACTTGTGGATGTGTTCCTCCCTTTAAGCGACCTAGTTTTTTCCTGAATCAGCTTGATAATAACGACTACTAAATCATCTCTTATTCTAAGTGTGTACTTCGTTCAAATAGGCATTTTGTCTCTCAATGTTTGGACACGACTCAACTTCAAATGCAGTCTGAATACTAACATGTTTACATACTCTGAAGCCTATTAGTCTTAGGGATCATTAGTTTTCGGTTTAAACTCACCATGCACTTGAGACCATCGATCAGATGTCTGTAAACACGACTAAAGATGACGGTTTATCTTGTCTGAGCCACAGCTAATCTAACTTCGAAGAATGGATTGAATATATGTCTCTGCGTATCTGCTATCAAAGAAAGTTTAATAGCGTAAGAAAGGTTTTAAGTTTGGATCCTCATGGAAAACAAACTACAGCAGGACTGCTACAGACCTTGACTCGGTCGTTTCTAATGTATTTGTAGGGTTTCTACGACTGCATGTGGAAAGTCATGATTCGACAGCTTTTCGTGTGGAACTACGATCGTTCATCACACTCCACCATGTCAGACTGACAGCCCACCTTCCTCACAGTCATTATCAAGAAAAGCTTGCATACTGAAAGGCGTCAAATGTCCTCTATTTAGAGTTGTAGGCCATAGGGCAGGACTATCGTCACTGCCGAGTTGTGCACCTCAGATTAGTTCAGTAACGATGATTTATACTAATAAATTGGGCCTCTACCACTCGTACATAAGCAAATTCTATTTCGGCGGCCCAGAATCCATCGTTCATGCACAAACTTTACTTACTGAGTGACGGGGATTTCAGTAGTTTGTTTGTTGTATTACTGCCTACTCAAAGTTGGAAAGCTTTTTCCGAGATAATGGGTACTCATCTCCATGACACACTTCCTCCAGATCTTGTCTGAAATTGTCATTTATAATTACCTAAGAAAGATGTGCTTTTGCATCTAGTTCAGCCTATGGTTCAGAACAGCTAGTGTATGACCTTGTTATATATGAATTGCTATTGTAAAGAGCTTTCACGATTTTACATGAGTTTCTCAATACTTCCCTAGCACAGTTCCAGAATACCGTATTGCCTCGCAAATCAAAGACAAATGTTTATCAAGAGGTATCTAATCTTACCCCTGAAGGGAGATAAAACTTTAGAAATTCTGTCAAAGACGTCTTTGGAGCAAGGCTAGATGAATGGACACCAATAAGTTACGGACACCAATGTCGAAAATAGTTCCGAAGAAGGAACGTTGTTTATTCACTTGAGTTCCATACTGGTTTACTATCAGTTTTATTACTTCAACTTGATTTGTCCTTGGATTTCAGACATACTGTCTCATGTTCGTTTGTGTATTTTTGTGGTCCACTAAATTCTCTTTTGCATGCTCCTGGAAAGTGCCACAGCTTAGTTCTGTTATTCTCAGTTTTCTGTTGCAGATTTGTTGTGTAACAGCTTAGAACCGATACAAATGTATATTGAGTACTGCATTGTGTATAGCTAGTAATGTCTAGTATGATTACCTTTTCTACCGCTTCATTTTACTAAAACAGAGCTCACTAGGCCAAATAGCGCTGATAGCTCCCAACATTACCACGCTCCTTCAAATCAAAGTTCAAGTGCTTCACTGTCAATAGAAGAACGACTCAGGCGCGTTAGAGCCGCTGAACAACTCAAACAGCAGCAACGTTACGCAGCCTACGTAGAAGCTCAACAACAAGCCGAAATGGCACGTATGCGCCAACAAGAGGAAAGAAAGCGCAGAATTGAAGAAATGCGACAAAAGGAACAAATGCGCCGACTTAGTGCACTAGAACGACGTGCAGCCTTGGAATTATCTAATCAAGTAGGCTTTTCCTAGTTATTAACTTGTTAATAATTTCTCTAAGTAGTTTAACATCTAATGAGGTATTTAGGTGGTGGGCTTTATGTCCAAATATCTCCTGTTCTAGTTAACACTTATGAAAGAATTAGGCTTAAGAGTTTGATTGTAGTCAGAAAGCGACTAACCTACAAAATTAACTTTTTGCATTTCCCAATGGTGTCTGGTCATCCTTATTTTACTACTAGTAGTGCGTATATACGTATATCACTTTACTAGAAATCATCTGGCAAGTGATCGTTTTTGATATCAAACCACTCAGGATTTCGAGTCAATGATTCTGTTCCATCAGCAGCCATCACACGACCACATCATCTCATTGCATTTCATCTATCGATAGGCATTCCATTCTAACAGTCCGAAAGCCGTTTACCATTTATTTTAAAACCCTCCGTGATGGGAACCATCAGCTGCTTTTCCTTTGCCAAGTTCCACTGATATTTCTACCTATAAATAACATTTCTAAAGATATGTTACAAGTATAAGTTGTGCTAATTTCATCCCACTATCTTGATCTGGTGTGAGAACCAGCTATTACACATTTGCTTCAAACTGGCTTAATTATGACTTGCTGTATACCATGAATCCCAATGCAGGATTCGTTCTTTCGCACTTTTTACTTTATCGTTTGCCAATAAACGGACTATTTACACAATAATTTTCATCTCATATTTGTTGTCAGTTCTTAGTATTTAGTTTTCCTCTAGTGGAAATTTGTAATGAAAATGACATTTAAGTCATTTTTCCCCATGGTCTAATTTCACTAAACACGGTAGTGTGTTCGATTTAGTGTTTGAGGGCTAGTGATACTATTCAAGTGCGCGAACGAAAGTATGTGAAAAAGGGCTTTCTTGATATTTTTCGTTTTCTACGTGTTACTTATATTAGTGTTAGACAGACTTCAGTTAATCCTGTCACTAGACTATTTTCGATTTTACAATAACATTCATTTATGGTTTAAAAAAATGCTGTAGAAACTGCGTGTCGAAATTTCGATTTGTGTTGACGCTTTAAATGAGCTTCTAATATCAGCCAGTCAGTTAGTAACAACGTAGAACTTCGTACGTACGTACATCAGTTCGAGTTGCCATACCACATTGGCACATAGATGCAGTGGTCGATTCAAATCCCGTAGTTGTGGAAGTAGTAAAATTATATGCAGTAATCGGAAAGATTAAGACTTGAAGATGTTATTCAAAGAGTATAATCCAGTGAAATAAATTTAGAAAGAGAAAGGGACACGAAGAGTCCAGAAGATCAGAATTTGGGAGAACACAAAGAGTGATGCACCTGCGCCATTGCAAACGATTTTGAGCCATGTCATTCAAGGTCTCTAACCATCGGTTGCTGTTGTCTCGCGGATCCCAACCGGGTATTCTACACCTACCGTCATGGCTCGGTCCACCTGTCAGTGACTTCATGGATTTGTGCCATGTTTTGGTCTGGCCACTCCTGGCTTTCTTCCAACCTACTCCTATGCCATTGGACATCGCACATCGGGTCAGTCGGTGGTTGGACATACGTAACACGTGCCCCAGCCATCTCAACTGATAAAGTTTCACTATTTCATTAATTGATTTGCCATCCTTACCTAGTACCCGTTTTCTAACAACTGCGTTACTTATTCGATGGTCCCAGGATATACGAGAAATGTTTCGAAGACACCTATGATCAAATAATAGTAACCTACGAATGTCTTCTACTCTTACTGGTCATGTTTCACTGCCATAAAGTAGGACGGAACGAACTGCTACGCAGTAAACCGGTCCTTCGTTTGATAGACAGATATCTCGCCTACGCCATAAATGACGCAAGTTGGCAAAAGCTAGTCGAGCCTTCTGTATCCATGCTGAGATTTCGTCACACACCAGACCACAAGGGTTGATGAGACTTCCAAGATAAGTGAAGCGATCGACACGCTCAATTACTTCACTCCATATCATTAGTTGGGGTGTCGATGCAACCCAATCCTGAAGCGACATTTTGCATTTCGAGGGGGAGAATCGCATGCCGAACATGGTTGGGTTGTTGCTTATAGTAGTCAGAAGACTGCATTTTGTCAGTGTCTTCACCAAATAGAACTATGTCATCAGCATATTCTAAGTCAACGATTGAATGTTTTTAATAAACGGAATACACCCATTAAGACAATAAATAAGAAAGATCAGTTCGGCGAAGAGTTCTATTTTCGGGGAATTCTTTTTCAAAGCTGTACAGTCGCAAATATATATGCTTATTTTTTACAGGATGATAATAATATTGATAATAACCTGTTAGGCATTCTGTATGTGCAAAAACGACTGGTACAACCCCTTCTTCTACCATGGTCCTAATGTCTTACAATTTTTTTATTTTTAATTTTTCTCTTTCTCTATACTCTTCCTTTACAGCCATCTGATTCACCCTCCATCTTCCCCTTAAATTTTCTACCCCCAACTGGTTCATTTTCTTTCCACGATCATCTTCATTACATTTGATCTCAATTTCAACATTTATCTTATCATGCTGAGCCATCCGTTTCGCTGTCTTTTGATGAATACTTATGCCATTAACAATCAAACGATTATTAAACTTTCCTTGTTTTTAAGAGAATTTTTTAAATAAATTTGTTTATTTAACCTCGCTGTCAACATGCCTAACAGGTTATTATCAGCATTATTATCATCCTGTAAAAAATAAGTATATATATTTACGATTGTACAGCTTTGAAAAAGAATTCGCCGAAAAGAGAACTCTTCACAGAACTAATCTTTCTTATTTAAACAATTGAATCTCCCGATAAAAGTTCAACCCCTGGAAATTTAGATGAGGAAAGTGTTATCTATAAAAGCACGTCAACGACAAAGTTAAACAAAAGTAGAGAAAGTGGACAGTCCTGACGAACACTACTGGAGGTAATCAATTCTGATGACAGTTCGTCATAAGCTCTCACTCGGCCAGTTGTGTTTGAGTAGAGAGCCTTTACAAGGTTAATGTACTTCTTTGGTACTCCTTACAGTGACAAACACTGTCACAGAACCTCACGAACAACAGAGTCATATGCCGCCTTAATGTCGAGAAATATTACTACTGTGGGGCGTCTGAATGTGTGTCTATGTTCTAGGACCTGACGTGGTGTGAATATCTTGTCTATACAACCACGTCCAGGTCGAAAATCAGCCTGGTTTTCTCTAGTCTGCTCTTCACGAGCTTTAGTTAGGCGTCGAAGTATTATTGAAGCTAATATTTTAGACACTATATTAGTCAAACTGATTCCTCTGTGATTGTCACAAGAGGACTTTTGTCCTTTCTTATAGACTGGCACAATCAGTGATTGAGACCAGTCAGATGGGATTACGTTCAGTTCCCAAATTCTACCTAAGACCTCAGTCAGTCTCACTGCTAATACTGAACCACTATCCTTAAAAACCTCAGGAGTAAACCTGTCGGGGCCTGCTGCTCTCCATCGTTTAAGGTTTTCTATAGCTCTTTCAACTTCGTAAAGAGTTGGAGGACTTACATTAACTTGCCATTCAGGTAGACTGGTGATCGTGGGAAACCGAAGTGTGGCTGAAGGCCAGTTGAACTGATCCCTAAAGTGTTCTGCCCATCGATCCAATCTCCTGGATTAAGGGTGAATAATATGCCCATCTTTTTCTGAGATAGTTTCGCTAACAGTTGGGTTCCTAATACCGGTTTCCTTAACAAGTTTGAACAGTTGTCTGCTGTTACCTATTGCCGCTGCCTTTCCCATCTCTTGCTTTCGCTACCCACCACTGTTCACGATCATTGCGTAGACTTCTTGTCAGCTTGCGCTTAAGCTGATTCTGCTCTTCGTTATGTTCAGAGCCAGATGGGATGAGTTTTCGAGCATCTATCAGTGCGATAGATGCTGCTGAGATCCAGTGTTTCTCCCTAACCTAGTGGTTAACCGTACTAGCAGATATCACTGCTGTTTCCACAGCTTTTCGAATATCATTCCACGCTGTTTCGGGGTATGCATCACATAAATGGCTGCCTAACTGTTTTTTTCTAGTTGTTGCTGAAATATATTTTTAGCTTGGCTATCAATAAGTAGGACCCTACGAGGCTTCCTTGCAGCGTCTTTCCTACGTCCAGTGGGACACAGACAAATACGCGCTTGCATTAGAGCATGATCTGAATCTAAGCATGTGCTCCAGAATGAGCGACAGTCTTCAATCGAGCCCCTCCATCGGTGGCTGATAGCGATGTGATCTATTTGGGTCCAACGTTGGGACGAATTCGGTGTTCGTTATATCGAAAGATGTTTTTCCTTATGCTTAAATATAGTATTTGCAAGAAACAGGCGGTTATCTGAGCATAGCTGCAATAGACGGTCGCCATTATCTGTTCTTTGAGCCACGACACTATAAGATCCACTCAGGTGTCCTTCCCCTTCTCCTAGTTTACCTACTTGAGCATTAAAGTCACCAGCCGCTATCACTACACCAGAATGTCTAGTTTTTCGGAGGTCGAAAAGCTTTCTGTAAAACTCATCTTTTAAATCATCTGAGCTGCAGTCAGTGGGAGAGTAGGCAGAGACGACGGAGAGGCAACGACGAGTGTCGCTATCTTTCCGAGTCCTCACTGTTCCGTTTAGTCGGACAGCGCACAAACGACTGTCTACTGGGATGCAGTCTAAGAGAGCTAGTTTTGTTCTGGGACTCAATGCTATACTTACGCCGGCGAGGCCACAGGAAGCAGCATCAGGGCTTCCAGATACACGAAGCATGAATCTAGGTAGTTCTTTGTTTTGATATGGTGAGGTCAAATGAATGACACTACTCGGATCCTGTATGCGCGTTTCGGAGACGCAGCACACATGGATAGCGCGAGATTCTAAAGTCCTAACTAAGGAAGCCTGTTGTCCTATTTGTCACAGTGTTTGAACGTTGAAAGCTCCTACATGTAGTTTGGAGTGTGGTTTCAGGAGACCAGGAATAAAGTTCTGCGTTGTCGAATCGTTTGCACTAGCGGTGTGACGTAATGAAGGGACGTGAGAAGGGTTATTAGGATGTGTGGGGAGGATTTGAATGTGACCGACTTGGTCTCGTGTGCTGTTAGGGGTATGAGGGCCGATATCACTTCTCGGTTGCTGACACCGAGGAAGGGTATTTCTTGAGGAACCTGTGAAAGAAGTCGGATAAGTGTTGGTCTTGACGACCTGGGAGCGTGACCGCAGAACCCGAGGGACAACTGCCTGAGGCCGGTCGCGCACAGCCTTTTTGTGGGGAGTTTTTAACGTGTTAGCTCCGTTCTTCAAAAGGCTTTACCACCGGAGATGGTAATTCGTGAGGTGAGGTGGGGTGGACCTATTCTAACCCTTTCCTTCCTTGTGAGAAGGCAGCGTCGCTACAGTTTCTGGTTGTCCGATGGTAACACCTTACTGCTGTCATACCCCTCTACAGTCAGCAGTACGACTTCGCCCTCAGACCTTGAGTTACTGCTTTTAGTCTAACGGTTCTCCAATCGACCTGCCTGGCATGGTAGAACCTACAGGAACATATGTTCCAGTCAATATAGTTCGGTTGGGTCATCACGATAGGCAAGCCCGACCATCACGTTAAGGTAGCAGCTACGGTCGGGGCTTCTAATATAAGCTACTTCCGATTATATTTTATCGAATAAAGTAACTACTTATAGGAGAAAGTTTAGTCGAAAATACACGTTTATATATTGATTCATACACCCATTTTTGATTAATAATTAAAATAAAATCACATATATGAAAAATAATTAGTTAGAACAAATCATATGCTGAATGTAGTTTATGTTAACTTAATACAAGAATATCGTGTGCTATACATAATAAAATGTTATACGGGGAAACAAAACAAATACTACATTGAGCTACCATTACATTGATTTAAAACGGAAGTAATGTTGAACCGAAACCATAATGAATAAATCAATATAATTTTGACTTTTCGTCCCGTCATATCATCCATCTATTTTTGCGTTTAAGACAAAAGATAAATTTAATTTCATCACATTATTTAAGTCAAGCAAAAGTCATCTAATTAAAGCGTAATTATTAAGTAGAAATTATTACTTTGCTTCGATTTGAGAAGTATTTCAGATAGATTCAGAGTATCTTTTGTGTTTTCACCGGACATACGAGTTTTATGTTTAGTTTCTCCACTCCTTCGTACAATTTTCGAAGGGTTTTTGATATCCTTTAAAGTTTATCCGAATCCTCTCATAATCTTTCTTATTGCCACAAACTCATTTTTTAAAAAATCTCTTTTCAGGCACGGATAGAACGACTTCGAGAACGGTCGGCTAACCGTTCAGGAAACAATACGTTTCGCCGTCAGTTTGCAGAACATGATCACTCTGGCCGTACTGCAAGTGCTTCTCCTTCTTTGGGAACCTCGCGAAATCCAAACTCTCTTATGACAACTTCGTGTGTGGTCGCCTTTGGAAGCAGCGCTCCGCGCTCTATATGTACGCAACCAAGTGCAGCAGCTTTACGTTTGAAACAGGCTTTTGAAGCGCGATTAGCTAGCTACCTTACCGGTCGACATAGTGGGTGCTTTTTACAGCAGCTGCAGCACCTTATTATTCGTGCTTTATAGATACATCACATGGACCTCGGCCTCAAATCTCTGTGTATAAATCGAGGCCCTGTAATCGAGGTGTAACGCAGTCTAGGCGAGCTGCTTCAGCTCATGCCTCTGTTTTGCGTCATACTAAGTCTTCATTCACTCGGGTTACTCATGCTCGACGTCAACAAAATTCTCTTACTAACAGAGACACTGTTTTCAAAAATGGTCAACCTATCAGCACTAAAGTCTTGAAATCCCCAAACACTACCACAGTTCCTGATGGGCACAATGTCGAGAGTAATCGAACCAGTGAAGGTTTGTCTGCATCCCTATCGTGCCTGCTACCCCCGCATACGAAAACGTTGTTTTCTCTGAAACGGAGTATCATATGTCATGCATGCCGATTCTTATATCTCTCATATATGCTTTTATATATGTTCAGCTTTCATTCATTCATGCGGTGAAGCTTCTCTCATACTTTTATTCGGGTTTTCTCAAGCTAATTATACTTGCATGCTACTCTTTAAACGTAGATATTTACACTAATGTAGTCTAAAATGTAATTTTATTATTTTGGTAGGATAGAAAGTTAATTTATCATTTCGCCACCATATAATACTCAGCATTCTCAATAAACTGGTGATTATTTTTTTGTCGCTTGTTTAGTTCACTCACGATTTATCTTAATCCGCATTTTAACTTTCTGTTCTGGAGTTTTTTAAACATGCATCCGTGTGTTTACAAAATTAACTTGAATCAATTTAACCAGGATCTTTCTTGTAGTATTTCAATATTATTTGTTGCAAAAGCTATCATGCTATTTGGATATTCTTGTCTTATTATAAATTTATTATCCTTTATTTAAAATATCTCCGAATTAAAGAGTTATTCAGTGTAAGTTTTAAAGACTAATCATGGTTGTTGGCTTCCTAAATTTATGTTTCACATTGATTACCCGGTTATCTTTATGCATACGTTAAGTCTTTTATAGTGAGGCTGTTGTATTTAATAATAATGAACCTGGATAATAGTTTGCTTTCAATGTTTTAGTGTTGTTTGCAAGTTGACAGTTTAGTTATTGTAATGCCTAAAAGCCCCTAAATGCCCTGGTACGGCCGAGAGTGAGGCGAGTCCGCTCTCCCTCTCGAAATCCTCTCATATGGCCACGCGTATATATCCTCTGCCAGGGAAGTCCTACTCACTGCCTTCTCGTGGGGGGATGTTGTTTACAGAATTGAGAGAACGGAAAGCTGATGTCCGGCGTTTTAGCCGGGTTGGCGGACACTGAGAGTCCACCTAGGGGAGTTGGAAAACCCTGATTCCAAACCAATGGTGCACATGTGATCCAGTATCCTGCGGGAACAAATGGCGTATGAACCAATCGTTGGTCACCGGCTACCATGGGACCGCATCTCCTTACGATGCTCCACTGCCTTGTGGATCAGACCTTCAGGTCGAAGGCTCCGGGCGTGACCCCCTAGGAAAACCACCTGCTTCGGCTTGGGCACCCGGGCAGTATCCCAGCCCTCACACAAATCAAATGAGATTTGTGTGGCGCATATGTAACTGGTGCCCCCTCGTACCAGTAATTATGTGTTCAAATAAATAAAATAAATGCCTACAAAGTAAACTAAGTAACTAATTACTGCTCCATCATAAAATAGGATTGTCAATGTGATGAGTAGACTTCAAGTTATAGATATGTTATAAATGAACTGTCATAAATCTGTGGTTTTTAATGTAGCAACCACTGAGAATTCTATATTGTACCAAAATATAATATTGAATAAAGCCATTGATAATAATAATAATCGAAAGACAATAAGTTTAAGTTAAATGTGCCTTAGCTTCACATGTATACCATTAAGTTTGTGTATATTTCTTCTAGCATCTCGTTATCAAAGTCACTTTATCAATTTGTTCGCTTTCTGATGTGTTCACATGTATATGAGTGCGAGTAAATACGGTTATTTTTCTAGCTTTCATTGAATTTGCTTAAAACTCATTAATTAAGCTATAATACATTGCTTTTCGTATTTATTTTCGGTGTCTGTCATATCACATCCTGTGATTAGTTGAAAGTGTTATATAAATCAATAATGTGGTAATCTGCCTGCCTGTTTATTCGTGAAAAAGAAATCTGTTTGTATCTTCATGTTGTACTGTTATTTGCTACCTAATTGATTTATTTTTATCTTTTTGGTTTAGATCTATTCAAATCTTTTGATAAGTTTAGTTTGTAGCTTACTAATTTATCGTAAATATATGGGATTGAGTTAGCCATGTTGACAGTTTAGCAGTGAATAGAGATATTAGTGGTTTTGTATTCTTTGTAGTTTTTGGTGTTGCTGATCACTTATTAAAAACGACGAATCACACACGGAATTTCCTAGTTCATAGTCTTTCAATTCTATCAATAACTTATTCGTCAGTTGTCAAGTAAATCAGCTCGATGTTTAATCATTTTTACATGATTACCTCACGTCTTAATTGGGTCTAACAGTACTCAACTCATATTTTATTTAGAATCAGGATTACAGAGTTTAAGCAACATTTGTGTGTATTGTAATTAGTGTATAGTGCATTTCCAAATATGTTTTATTCGGTGTACTCGTCGTTTTCATCGCCTCAGCTTATTTCATCAAATCAATCTGGTCACTTTATCCATTCATCGTGAAAATAATCTCTTAATTAGATCATCGTAGGTGTTTTAATTGCATGCCGATTTTGTCATCGTATATATGTTTTTTTAAAACTCCTAAATGGTCTACCACTTTTAATTTTAGTAATTTCAAGTCGATCTAATTCATCCAACGAATGTGATAAAATTGGGCGTCTTAATCATCATCCCAAAGTGCCAAAACATATTACTGCACCCGCAAATACATCGAAAACGAAAGAACATACAGGTAAAATATCGCTTTCATGTTTGTGATGTTATTACTATACTCATTTTTCTCATTTCCCTCATTAATTCTTGACCAAAAACTCACCTCTCTGACACCATTCTTGGAAAAAATACACTTATACTCAAACATGTCTTTGTTCAAAACATACTGATAGCTTTTAATATCTGTAAACGTTTTAAGTTCCGTGGTGTTTATAATCGACTTTTTTCGGATTACAAGCTCTCTTAATAGATTTCTAAGCACTAGTGTAGTTGCGTTCTCAAATTTCATTTCTATTTGATGATGCCCAGAAAGACAATGAAAACTTCATACTTAAATCATCCAGCTCAGAGATTGAAATTCCTCCAAAACCACTCATTTGAGTCACAAATCTTCCCCATCATCTCTAGATATTCCCTCGATTAAAAAGTGGATATTTTGAAGATGGTTATCAGTGGAATTTACTCTTTTTGGGCAAATCATGAAAAAGGTTGGTACATTGAACTAATGAGTCTTAAATAAGGACAGCATTCTCATTCTAGATTCTAATGTCAGCTGTTATCCAAACTATTTACTATCTTAATATCTCTCATCGTTCATATTGAACGTGTACTCTTTGTAGTTTCAATTACTTGGGTTATTCTATATTTTGAACTTTATATGTCAGAATTAGTACCCACGGAACATTTAACAATCTTTACAGTTTTTCTCATTCTCGTCTTTGACTTGTTTACTAGGTCTACTTTAAATTTGTCAGAGTAATTTCTCGTATAATCAGTTACACTAACTCATTTACATTCATTAATTAGCCATAGATGAATAGTCATCCACCATAGAGAATGAACAGTTGTCGTGAGCTATCATGAATTGTTTGAAGTTAGCCATTACACCATTGTGTGACGGCTCAATGGTCTAAAGGTTAGGCGTCTGCGTGTGAGACTTACTGTCTTTTATTCGATTCCCTGCGGTGGGATTGTGGATCCCCACTGTTGATGAGTCCTATCCTAAGACAAAACAGGTGTTTATCGCTCCCAGGTTTCCAGTGGTAGTCTATCTAAAATCAGTTCGTAATTTAAATTATGAAAACCCCCTTGTAAAAATAGATCAGAGTGACGATTATCTCCAGAGTTCGTTTGTCTCTAGATTTTCTAGTAGAATCTGTTTTCAGTAATCTTCATATTCATGAAATTGTTACTGAATTGTAATCAAATCACAAAATTTACCTTAACGGTATAAAATTCTGTGATCATGATATTTGTAATGATTTATGGAAAAGTGATCTACTTCCTTAACTTTTTCAAATTTGACCAAGTGTTCAGTTGTATTTCGAAATTATTCTAAATGATCATTTATGTGAAAAGTTCGATGTTGTTGTTGCTGTAAAGAAACAACTCATACAATGTTATTCAAAATAATGAATTGAAAATTCGCTTAAATTTTCGAGGTCGGTGACACATTGTTGTTACATCTGATTTATTCAATAGAGAATTTTACACCAAACGTCTTAGATGTTTTTTTCTTCTTCAATATTCTGTTGATGTTTTATATTCTTAATGACTTCATTTAGTTAAGTGTGCATCCTAAATGGTTTGTGTTGTGATTTTTTTTCTTTTTCAACATTTTTATGATAAATAAAAGGGACTTAGTTTGAACACAATTCACTTTTCAATTTGAATCTATGCCATTTAGTTTTCACTTAGTTTCATTTACAAATATTATAGTGACACGATAGCTGACATTCTCCAGTGTACAATATTCAGTTAATTGATGAATATTTTTACCGTGAGATCATTTGTATATAGTTTTTAGTTGTTTAACGATATATCATAGGACAATTTTAAGCTAAATAACATTTAACTTAGTCACTTAGGAGAAAATAGCTCATTTTGGTGTTCTCGTGTAATTGATTAAGTTTTGTGTTAATTCATTAATCGAAATCTCATTTGGCATATTGCTTCATCTTTTCCTTCAAAGAATAAGCCGATTATTTAAGATAATCAACTGTGATTTTACTACTTGTGATTTTTCTAAATCAAGGAAATTCTATGAATATCAATACCTAATCTCATCTGTTATAGCTAAGTTGGAAAATATGGTCCCACCTTCAGATTCCACTAGTTCTACACGTTCTAACTCTATTGAGAGACGATCTAGACAACCAACTATTTCTGTATTCGAACGTTTAACAATGTCTCGTTCTGTCACTACTTCTGGAAACGTTACGACAAACAAAGCAAGACCTGTCCATTCGTCTGCTAGTACTGTGCATGTGGCAAAAAGACCCGGTGAGTTTGCTTGTAATATGAACCTGAGGCTTACAAATATGATTTTTACTCTAAGACAGCTTTTTATTTAGACTACATCCATTTTGATTGTTCTATTTTAAATCCACTGGAAGTTTGTAGTTAAAACTCAATGTAACATACTAAAATACAGATACTTTGGCACTATATGTTGTCTAAAAAAGTGTAAAATGATCATATTGCTTCATGAGTTTAATATGTAACCCAAACCGATGCGACTTTATCAGCTTTATTCTGATTCCCAACTTAAAGTCACCTCAAAGCAATGCTTCTCTGTTTCAACCTTGTCGCACTGTCTTTTCAGTTCTAATGGTATATGAAGAGCTATGAGTGTCAGTGTCACAGCTTAGGTGTTTTTCTCAGTAGCAATTCATTACGGAATTACAAAATGTCGATTTAGTTACTTTTCAAAATGTATGTCTATTCACTTAATTTCACGCTATACATCACTAATTTGGCTTTATCAGAATGGGTTTTGTGGAGAATTTAAGAAATTTCACAGGTTGAAATCATGAGTCAGTTGAAGCTAGACCACCATTGAAAACCTGGAAGCACTGGACGGCCGTTTCGTCCTGGTATGGGACTCCTCAGCAGTGCGCATCCACGATCCCCCAATATAACAACTCACTGAAGACAATGGTGTACGGTGGCGCATCTTCGTGGATTGGTTGAAGCTAGACATTAACACCGTTGGATGCCGGCTCAGTGGTCTAGTGGTTAAGTGCTCGCGCGCGAAGCTAATTTGGCTTTCTTGATAAGAGATTTACAGTTCACCAACTTTTTCAGATCAGTAGTTGTCTTGATAAGTTAAACTGTGATTCCATTGTACCATGCTTCTCATGTATTGTATGAAGTTCAGTAAATAAAACATGATTAGTAAGTTATAAAATCTCATATATTTTTTCGCTCGTTATTTTCTACCATGTGAATGCAATTTTTACACATGATTTTTTACGTAAATAAAATAAAGATTTTTATAGAAGCATTATAATGAACCACGTTACTTAATCACATAACCGTATAATAATCGATTTAAATGAGTTAGTGGACTTTTTTTCTTCGTTAAAATACTTCTGGATTACAGAGAACATGTGTACATAGTACATAGCAAATACGTAAAACTACGTGAAAGAATAAATAATTGATACAAAAAAAAACTCACAAAACAGCACTTGAATTATCTACGACGAAATATGACTACAACGAGGGAGAATTAGTCATTAAACATAATGTGGAGTTTTAACCATTGGAAAATACCTAGGATTAAGGAGTTATAATTTTTCTGACAAATTGATCTGTTCAATGTAAAATCAAACATGATCAACATTCTCAGATAATTTGAACTCAGTCCTTCTCAACAGGATGAGAAAAATTAAAAGGATGATGATCACTTTCTATGGACAAGAAACTATATATACAAAGCAAAGCGCAATTTTAAAAAAAACTTACCTCTGAAGAGAGACATGTGTGTGTGAGAACACACCTGTATACAAACTTGTTCGTATCCACTTTTATCGTATGTGTCCTTTCTTTTTCAATTTACCGGCTGGTGTACGTAGAATACATAAACATCACCACCAACCTAACAAGTATTTAGTTTTAGTATAGGGGATCATGAATTGATCTTAGTTGGGCAACTTATTGGGAACCTGGGAGCACTAAACAGCTGGTTCGTTCCAGTATGAAACTTGGGAGTGAGCATCCATGACCTTGCATCTGAGAAATAAACCCAAGACTTTCGGTCTCACCTGCGAACTACTAACCTAAATCCACAATTCTGAGAAGTCCCATACTAGGACAAAACTGCCGTCCAGTGCTTTCAGGTATTCAGTGGTGGTCTATCTAAGACCAGTTCGTGATTTAAACTTTGTAAGTACTTATAGTTATTTTTCATCGCTTTCCGTCATCGTAAACTTAATAAGTTGTTAAATTTAAACTGAGCTAGCTGAGGTTTCTGATTATCTCTCATGTATGTTGAAACTATTTTCTGTGTAAATATCAATACTGACTACATTTAAGTTACCGATGCTTATTTGAAGTGGTATTTTTATTACCTCCCTGGCTATGTTATTAACTAACAGTCACTTCAAAGAACACGTAAATATAAGTCCAGGAAATCATTGATTGTTTGTCTGATCTATGTTGGTGGACGCGGATCACCTGATCGAGGTTTACACGATAACAGCAATCTTTGTCGAAGACGTTGATTGACGTGACTAAAAATCGTTCTCACGAACTTGCCGAATTGTACGCCCTGGCTCCACAGGAGCAGTTGAACTGGTTAATACACATAGATGTGGCAAATTCAGGCAACCTGTCTTTATTCCCATTTACTTTGCTATTAATCATATCAATTTCATCTCGTACTAGTACGGTATGGAGACGTAGTCAACACACATCTATGCTAGGCTCGACGATAATGACTAACCAACTAACTGACTACGTATTATAGGATTACCCGTATTTTAATGACCTTTTAGTTGGTTTCCAGAAGTATGACAATGTGTTTGCATAAGCTACCATCATTTATATTCTTCTGACACTGTACTTATAGATAAACAAGCTGCTACTGTAGTGACCGAGAACACCAGTGAGTACAACCGAATTACAGAATCTCATAGTAAAATCTAAGAACCATACAGTAAATTCTTCATTTACGTACGAAAATATCAATCAGTTGTCTCATACTTTGCTGTTCCTCTATTTCCACACCAATCACTGTATGTTCTCGTTCTCCTTTCTTTGATCTTCTTAACCTTCGACCACCAGACATTTCACTTTCGATTGGTGATACACACGATTTATATTTGTCGACATATTTAACACACAACACTAATAATTAAACAAACAAATATTTTTAAAAATGATTTACACCGTTTCCCCATCTTATTTTAATTACCTTTCCAGAATCTATTCGAGAATCCAAACGTAATGGTAACTCTGTCGTGCCACCTGTGATGTCTAAATCCGTTTCTGGTGATGCGCTACATCTGCGCCACCAGAAGAAACCAGTGCTCCCCTCGAAACCCCTCTCACCGCCCTCTTATCCAACCAGAATCCAGGTTAGTATTTGATTTGTTTGGACATTTTTAAAGTTTGTTTTTACACTATTAATATATCAGGCTGTGTTGCTCTTTTATATATAGCTGTAATATGATCATTTGTAACATGAACCGCTACGTAGTTCTTGTTATTATTCTCTGTGTTAGAGTATTATTATCTTTCGTACACAGAACGGACGGGACTTACACACTTTTAGTACACATTTATTTTCATTTCTGAAGTTGAGTCTTACTTTATTTTGCTATAAATACTATCATTGTCCGTCTGTATCCTTTCGTCCTTATTATAATCCCTTATGCTTGAAGATCAGTTAAATGCTGACCGTTAGTCAAACGTCGGAGACTTGATGCTTCCTGAAAGCTGTACAAACATACTCCTCTAAACCACCTACATAGACCACCACTCTTAATTGGGGACAGTAAACTGTCGTCATAAGCTATTAATTCCAATAATATGTACTAATATTTTCCTTCTGAATGCCTATCGTTATGTCGTTTTGGTATCGTCAAAAATCCATCCATCCATGATTATACACTTTTGTAGAGAAGCATTCAGCTAAGCCTAAAACTGTTTAAATGAATGCTGAGCTTTTCATTTTCAGCGTGAACCTGGAAAATGTTTTATTTGTGCAGTAATATTACGATGTTGTAATAACATTTGTCGATAGCTTTATTGGAGGTGAATTACTACTCACTTTCTCAAGTTATTTATTGTTTTATTATCAAATTGTCTCAGTTATCTACATTTTAACTCGAAGTATTCATCTCATTCGTGAAGCGTATGCTAAATACTTTATATAATTAAATCTGTCTAAATATCTTAAGAAAATCGGTTATACGTTTTATCTTTCCGTTTAATGTTTTTGTATAATTATATGGTTGATATTTCATTCATTTTGAAGGAGCCAGAAACAGCTATTTCCAGTCTTCCTCCGTTACCTCAGTCTTCATCTGAGTCAGAAAGTGTTACTCAAGTAGCTGAAGATATCTCTATTACGAAAGTGCCTTGCAGCGACTCTACTCCATCTCCGTCATCTCAAGTTAATGATGTAAAGAATGAAACTTCGTCCATTGTTGCACAAATAGGTCCAATTAAGGCTGAGACACGTGGTTCAGGTGAAGGTGCTATTTTATCTGAAAATGAAGCAGCAATTTATCGTGCAAAACTTTTTAAACAACGTCGCTTAGCAAAAGAGCGAATGGAAGAAGAAAAAAGGTCAGTATATATATATATATATATATATATATATATATATATATATATATATACTTTTAGCTTGTTTACCGTACGTTCTATGGTACTGATAAATGTTATATCGGGTTATGCTTGAACAGTAGCAATAATAATAAGCTATGGATTGGAATATACAAAATGAGGAAATAGCAGCAAGAAATGTATATGAGAGACTTTCTGAAAAAAACTCACTTTGACCTTAAATGTGCGAACATTCATCAATCGTTCCAAGCCTGAACACCAGTTGTAGAGATAGTTTATTTTTAATCTTTAGTAGAAATCCACAAGCGCGGAGAAAGCTAGAACACAGGGAGACGGGTGAGTGTGTGTGTTCTTATTATTTTACTTAGTTACTTACACCTGTTACTCCCAATGTAGCTATAGGCCGCCGACCCACTCTGTCCTGCGCATTCCTTTCTAGTTTTATCCAATTGTTGTTCATTCTTCCTATGTCTGTCTCCATTTCTCGGTGTAATATGTTCTTTGGTCTTCCTCTCCTCCTTTGGCCTTGAGGATTCCAAGTGAGGGCTTGTCTCGTGACGCAGTTGGGTGCTTTTCTCAATGTGTATCCTATCCACTTCCAGTACTTCTTCCTGATTTCTTCCTCCGCTGGGATCTGGTTTGTTCTCTCCCACAGTAGTTTGTTACTGATAGTGTCTGTCTGGCCAACGTATCCGAAGTATTTTGGTGTAGACAACTGTTAATAAGCACTTGTATCTTCTGGATGATGGGTTTCGTAGTTCTCCATTTTTCCGTCTCATACAGTAGAACTGTCTTGACATTTGTATTGAAAATCCTGACCTTGGTGTTGGTTGACAGTTGCTTTGAGTTCCAGATGTTCCTCAGTTGTAAATATGCTGCTCTTGCTTTGCCGATCCGCGCCTTCACATCTGCATCAGATCCACCGTGCTCATCAATGATGCTGCCCAAATATGTAAAGGTTTCTACATCTTCCAAATCTTCTTCGTCAATTGTGATTGGATTGGTGCATGCTGTGTTGTATCGGAGAATCTTGCTTTTCCCTTTGTGTATGTTGAGACTGAGACCTAGTGCTGCTGAGGCTGCTGCTACACTGGTCGTCTTCTGCATTTGTTGTTGCGTGTGCGATAGAAGAGCCAGATCGTCTGCGAAATGTAGATCGTCCAACTGCATCCTAGATGTCCACTGTATCCCGTGCTTCACTTCAGATGTTGACGTCTTCATGATCTAGTTGATCACCAGGAGAAAGAAAGAGTAAGAGTAAGCAACCTTGCCTGACACCGGTCTTTACTTCGAACGAGTTTGTCAACTGTACTCCATGCACAATTTTTTAGTTTAATCCATCATAAGAATTGTGTATGATATTGACTATCTTCTGAGGCACTCCGTAGTGTCGAAGAAGCTTCATAGTGTCGTTCTGTCCACGCTATCAAGTGCTTTTTCGTAGTCAACGAAGTTGATGTAGAGTGACGAATTCAATTCAATCGATTGTTCCACAATGATCCGTAGAGTTCCGATTTGGTCTGCACACGATCTATTCTTACGGAATCCTGCCTGTTTGTCTCGAAGTTGGGCGTCTACGGAGTGCTTCATCCTGTTTAACAATACCCTGTTGAAGACTTTTCCTGGTACTGAGAGAAGAGTGATGCCCCCGTAGTTATCACACTTGCCGAGATCTCCTTCGGTATTTTGACCAGAATTCTTATACCTAGTTTTTATGTTAATTTAGGAATTCGTTAAAATAAATAATTCACCTGCATATTCAAACAAGTTTTCGTATACAAAATTACGTAACATCAATTAACTGTTGATCGATAGTAATCCCTATATCCTTTTATTATTTTAGATTACTCGTGTTTGAACTAGTAATGTACTATTTGAGCATAGAGTATTCCAAATTCATGAGACCTCAGTTCCTCCTACACCTTATACAATACAATAGAATAGACTTAAGTGATAATTGTCAAGAAAGACTACATTCACCAAAAAAAGTTTAAACAATATACATGTATGCTACTGAGAGTTTTTATGTAGTAAATGGTTTTATGTCTGTACATTAATTACCCGATGAACAAAAAGCCAACTCGTTCATATAGCAAAATTCACCTTTAAGCATTGTTCACTATTATTTCTTAATCTATTTGTTTAATATGATTTAGAAATTATATATATTTTTAGACGATTGGAAGAGGAGAATCGTAATCGACGAATCCAACAAGAGCAAGCTGGTTTAGCTGCCGAAGCTGAAGAAGCTCGTTTAAAAGAAGAACAGGACGCTCGTTTGGCTGAAGAAGCTCGTTTAAGGGAGGAGCAAGCTCTTCATGAGGCTGAAGAAGCTCAACGTGCAAAAGAAGCGGAAGAAGCCGCTAGGGTAATTATTATTTCTCTTTATCCTACCATTTCTCTATGAAGATAAATAAGAGTATTTCATGTTCTATGATTATCGAAACTATTATCTATTTACTCTTAATATTAATTTCAATCAAGATTTTCATCTTGAATTACAATGTTAAATAGTTCCAGTTTGCATTTAATTATTAAGCACAAGTTCCAGAATTTTTAGTGTGGCATATAATCTCTAATGTGTGGAGTAATTTAAAAATCAGGTTGTACACATTTATGTAGGTAAGAGCTTCCAGTTCTCGTGTAAATATCTTGATTGATTTACAAATAACCTGTATTATATTTCAAAGATGTAATTATTTGACTTTATCCAGTGTAAACTTAATGTAATTTAGTGAAATATTGGTTTTTGTAACATAATAAAATAGCTTTTAATTCTATTGGTTTTTACCATATCGCTCTTTATTTTGTACACGAAGAATGTACTTTAATATAACATAAATAATCTTTTTATTACTTGTTTAATTATGGCTTTTTAAAACTCTTGGATTAGTTTTCAATGTCAAAGCATTAAATGTGATTTCGATGGTTACTACTCTAATGTGTAATAGTATTCTCATTCTTTTGTACTATAATTTTTTAGCTTCAAGCAGAAGAAGCAGAGCGCCTTGCAAAATTGCAACGTAGTGAAGAAGAAAGAGTTTTACGCAAGAAAAAATTGGACAGTATTATGTCTCGTGTCAAAAGACCAATGAAGTTAACATCTGAGGCAACTAGTGAATCTGGGTCTACAACCAATCTTCAATCAACGGATACCACACAGTCATCTTTAGTGCCTGATACTACTTGTGCTTCGCCTGATAGAATCGTTAACCAAGAACCAACTATAGGTGTTGAAGCACCTAAGGTGGGGATCAATCCATCAGAGATTTATGAAACTTCTAATGGCAGAGTCATTTTTACTGTTGACGGTGGAAGGTTGAATGAATCTTCGGTAGGTTTATATTTGAAATAGATTTATATGACTTACGGTGGCTCACGAGTTTAGTTCTGTGGCTAGAGAAACGTGAGTTTGAACGATACTGCACCTACCGAGTTTTGCACTTCTACAAAAACATCAGTTTGGTTGCTAATTGTTATCAAATCTAAACGTTTTTGCTACCCACTCTTGTACATTTACAGTGCGACATTTATTCTCCGCTGATGCTTGCCAACCAACATGAATATTTTAGACTATTGGTAGCGTGTTTCCTTTTCCACGTAAACAGATCACTGATTTGGAAGCCATTTATTAATTAGTATTTAAATTAACAATGCTAAATAAAGGTATACTTGAAGATCTGGGTTACCTGTACCTCTCATCTAGATATTTTATAAAGTTATCTGCATTCTGTTCGTTTTAACACGTCATTATGTCTATTAATCGCATAACCTATTCAGGAGCGTTTATGAAAAGCCTACGACCTTTCTCTGTACAAGTCACAAGATGTACAATCAGAGACGTCGCGTGGCTGGCATTATGCATTGAGAAAATGAACATTATCTAGGTGTCGATTCCTGAACTGCTAACATCTAACTAACGATTACTCAACATTTATCACCAGAATCCATCAAGAAATAAGAAAACGAAACTTGTTGAAATACTTTGTGCTGAGAATTCTAGATTGTACCAAAAATATATTGAATAAGGCCATGAATAATAATAAATAATAATAATTCAGCTGAATCCTAATACTTAAATCTTGATTGATATTTCTTTATAGAGAATATCTTCAATAAATTTGAAGGAATAAAATTAATCGTTATACACATTTTGTGTTATTTGATTACAGTCTTCACTTAATGACGAATCTGTCAACCAGTCATCTTTTTCACACACAATTACTGAAAACGATTTGAAAAAAAATGTAAATAACACTTTTGAAGATCTCGTCTCCAGTACTACTAATACTACTACTACCATCAATGGAAAGTCGAACAATAATAACAATACACCATTAAGTAATGTGAATGATGCAGAAGCAACAACACAAGTGACAAGCAATTCAGATTTGACAATGATAAGGAATAGTTCAAGTGCTAGTCATAGAACACCACAATTCAAATCTGCGTTATTGCAATCTATGCTAGGCGCAGGTCGTTTGTCTGCACATGCTAAAGATGCTGTTGCTGGATTAAGGTGAATTACCATTTTTCTTCTGAAAAAAGGATCGTATATTTGCAATATGCATTATGGATTCATATTTTACCCTTTCATATATATATCATCAGAAAGCGTTATGTTACTCTAATAAAGGGTTACTCAAAAAAGGTGTACATCAATAACGGTGATTTAAGAGTACAATAAAATAATACCACCGACATATTAAGTGGATAAACATAATCAAGAGTGATTGTCAAAATAGCAACTTAGTAATGTTGAGTTAGTGTCTTCAATTTTTTTATAAAATAATTTGATATGTATACGTATGCGAATTCAGATTGTGTGTACCATTCAGTTCACTTAAATAGTCTATTATCTATTTTAGTGGCCCTAAATCTGATTCCAGTTATATCGTATGATTGAATGTTATCAAAATATACATATCGTCAATCCTTGTATATTATAATCGACTTAATTCGCGTTAGTGAGTGAATGAAAACGAAGTTTAAATACGTATTTATTCATACAATCGTTGACCTGAACAGACAATCGATCGGAGAAACGAAGCGAAGAAAATGAAGCGAAATGGCGCGCAGTGGAGAAGGCGTGTGAACCAACACGATTTAACCAAGCATGAATCGATATTTATAGTCAGATAAAAATAAGTTACAGACATGTAATGAGTAAGATAGAGAATTCACACACATATGCTTACTTAACAACAATCAAAGCTGACAAGCGAATAATTAACAAGGTTAAAAAGTGACTCAAGAAGAATGAATAAATTGACCTATTCGGGAGATAGAATAAGCTGTGTGGACTTGCATAACACTACACTATCTGTTTCTCTAATCTTTTACGATCAGTTTAATGTGTGTCGCTACCTCCTTGTACTTATATCTTGCGTGCTCTTACCGGTTCCCTGCAAATCATAACATCATTGTACTACGCCTTACGATATCTTGTTCGATTCATTGTTCACTGAAGCCGGTTTACTTCTCATAAAGCATCCTACCAAATTACGTCACTTGTTGAGGGCTAATTTCCTCTATATCTGACTCCAATAAATGATATCCCGTTAACTGAATATTTAAGGTAGGCTAACTCTCCTAGTAGAATTATGGATTTACTCGAGATTATTCAGAGGCCTGAACACCAGTTGTAGAGATATTTTATTGTTAAAGATAAATGAAATCCACAAGCGTACAGTGAGCGAGCACACTGAAACTAAGACAATGTGTGTGAGAGTTAAAAATCCATGTATATTTTTTAGTGTTAATCAAGTGTGGATAAATTATTGATTATCTGTATGTTACAACCAATAGGAGAATAGATTTAGGTTGATGTGCGGACACGCGCTCAATCATACACACACAGAAATTAACATAGTGAATGAAGTGTCTGAATTACAGTGAGTAGACAAATGATACAGTAGTTAAATGGGCTTGCTACACACCTATAAAATGGACATTCATGGTTTACTGTGTAGTGGAATATCTTCGGGATAATTCTTAGTGCACCGCATGTCACTCGTCCTGACAACCGTTATAAATTTCAGAAAACAATACAAAGTGTTGACTACAGTTTATCATTGTACAGCACAGATCACATGACCACAACCATACAAAGCGAATTCGAATAGAAATGGAAATGTGAGAAAATACAAGCAAACGAAGGAATTAATTGGGTTTTAGAAGCACATACATTCAATAAAAAGCCGTAAGTAGAGCAGATATTTACTTCACTAAGCAAAATATGTTGGTTATTGTAGTAAGCGTTAATTGAATGCATCTAAGCGCTTGAATCAAATTATCCATACATAATAAGTCTCCTTTCTTAATGGTCAACCATGAAGCAACATTGTGCTGTCTTCACTCTCACCCTTTCATTCTTTAATGACTGTTCAAACGTGTGAATCTCTTATGCGTAACTAAAACTTGTAGACATATTTATCCAAGTTCTATGTTGCCTATGATTAACCTGATTGAAATAATTCACAATATTTGTTCATCTCATCAACCTTAATTTTAATTCCTACCAATGAAATTTTTCTAGTTGATGTTATGCTCTGCTTATTGTTGCTATTATATTTTAATTCATTATAAATTTTATTAGTTTAAACTCATTTTATATTATTTTCAATTGTCAGACGTAATTCTTCTCAAATACAAAATGATCAAAGTACGAATGATAATTGGCCTCAACATCATGAACATAGTGATTCTACTGTGTCTAGTTTCTATTCAGTTAATAGTACACTTATTCAGGACTCTGGTGATTCTGTAAATATAAACAATAGTTCTTCAAGTAAACACATTATTGTGTTTTATATCTGTATTTTATAGATTTCATTTAAATTATCTAAAATTTATTGAATATAGTTTATGAATTAGTTGTTACATAATAATAAGGACAATACTCGGTAATACTTAAAGTAATTGTTGGACGTAGTCGACAGGACACCCAGCTTGACTTAGGTTTTTCTCATTTGACACTCATCAGCACGGTGTACTTGTAACCCAGAGGGAATTGTTGCTCTCTGGCGAATTCGATACTGTATCGAGTTACTACATTTTTCATTACTTAATAATCAATCACTTGTAAATAAATCTCAGCACTACAAGAGATCCTTGTGGCCTGAATAGCTCAATGGTAACGTCTGACTATGAAGCTGAGGGTATGGGATCGAAACTTCCAGAGAGCATTAGTTGCCTCGAGATTACAGGTACACTGCGCCGACGAGTACCAAATAGGACGAAACCCATGTCATGCAGGGTTCACTGTCGACTACCCCCAAACACTATCTTACCTCTCAGCATAATGCAAACGTTGTTGTGACACTTAGACTAGTTATTTGCTTATTTAAACGCATAAACATTGGTACAAGAGGGCACCAAATACATATGCACCACACAAATCACTTGATTTTTGTGAGGGCTAGAATACTGCCCGGGTACCCAAACTGAAGCACGTGGTTTTCCTATGGAGCCACTCCCCGTGCTCTTGACCTGGAGGTCTTATCCACAAGGTAATGGAGTGACGTTAGGAGATGCAGTCCCATAGTAGCCGGTGACCAACAATACGTTCATACGCCATTTCCTTCAGGATACTGGAACCCATGTACACCATTAGTTTGAAATCAGGATTTTCCAACTCCTTCAGATGGTTCCCCGTATCTACTAACCCGGGTAAAGCACCAGACATTCTCTTTTCGTCCTCTCAATCTCCTAAACAACACCCCCGCTACGAGAAAGCAGTGAGTAGGACTTCCCTGACAAAGGCTGTATACGCGTAGCCATGTGGGAACATTTGGAGAGGCAGAGTGGACTCTCCACACCCTCGATCACACCAGGGCATTTGGAGATTGGTAACCACGGTGCGGTTGATAGAATTCGACTAGCACTAAAAAGGGTTTGACATACATGTTATTGGTCACTACTCAATGATCAATCAATTTGTAAAGCTCTGCAACATCGTGTTTCTATGACTTCAGTGCATTATAAGGACATATTTTAAGTAATATGTTTCTTAGTAGTCCACAGTGCACTTTATTTATGGTGGATTATCTGTCAATAAATAGTACAATAAAAAGCTTTCCATTTTCATACTTGTTTATACTTATTAGTAAGATGTATCCATGATCACGCGAAAATTCATTCATATACTCTGTCTGAAGTTCAAATACGTTGTCCAGTGATGGACAGATATTATTACGAACTAGTGCGACTATGAGTGGTTAAATATGGATCACTTAAATATGTATATATTTCAGGACAAAATTGTTTGATTTTGTAATTTGTCTGTTCTTCATCTCTGTCATTCCAGCGTTTTCGTTTACCATTTTCTATTTCACGTGTTTCCGTCATAGAATTTAAATTGTATTTGTGAATTAACCGCTCCCTGAGAAAGTCCAGCGCCATTGCAAACGATTTTAAGCCATGTCATTCAAGGTCTCTAACTATCGGTTGCTATCATCTCGCATCTTGCGTTAAACATTCCTTATGCATTTCTATCGATAAAAATAATTATTGTATTGTATCCTGGAATTACTTATTTCCTTATTACTGGTCACCAAATTATTTAAATATTTTGCTATCAAAAGTAGTCAAAAATACTATTTTGGTTTTTTTATACACTATTTTATCTTCAGTTATGCATTCTGTGCCGGACACATCTAGGCATTATCAGCATGATCTACCTCACCTTAATGGATCAAAGTAAGATGAAAGTTGTTTGGTTGTTTTTTGAGTGATACCAGTTACTTAATGTCACTATTTTATTCATAGTAAATTTTAGTGGTAAGGGTCCTTTTGGTGCATAGCTCACTATAGATCTCAGTTAATTGCTGCCAGAGTACCTCAATTACCAATAGTTCAGTCTGTTACAAGAATAGAATTTCATTTGAGATCTATTCTTTCCTGTGTTCTGATCTATTTTATTAAAATGTAACTAAGTTACCAAGCAGAGGCTTTCGGTCTCAGTGTGTTTGTATCTGATTCACTCATGTTCTGTCGATTCCCTCTCATATGCTCTTCGAAAATGTACGTATACGCTTCTGTATCAGGTTCTGCACTGACGTTTACCCGTTTCATTTACGGTTTATTCCTTCCTTTCTGAAACTATTGTCTGGATGAGTAACTAATCACTATTTTATGCATATCCAAATGACTTTTTAATTACACATCTTTTTCAAACTTCCAACGATTAAAGCTTTTCTAGGGGATATTTTTGATGGGGTCTAGCAGCGAAATCTTGAGCTTAAACATCAGCTGAGTCAGTCAGTCAGCTACAACATAGGACCAGGAACATATATGCATCGGTCTAAGTTGCCATACCGCATTAGCACAGCAAGATGAACACCGGATTCATAGTAGTTAAGTCAACGGTGATAATATATAAAAGGAAGATTGCATATAAGGATATAGTACAGGAAGAAAGAAGTATTTCATAGAAAGATATGAAGCGATTTTAATCTCTTAGTTTAAGGGAAGACAGAGAATGTATACACCTACGCCATTGTGACCTATTCTGAGCCATGTCACCAAGAGTCCCTAACTATTGGTTACGATAGTCACGCGGACCCCAACCAGGTTGTTTATTGTGTCTTCAAAAATGTAACTGACTCATCTCTTATGTCTTCCTCCACTATAACGGTTTGGGAATAATACATATTCAATATATATATTCAGAATATAGTTGCTTGGTATTACTAGATACTGTGTAAATTCTGGTTATATTCTTTAGTCACGTCGAAAGATAACAGCAACATCTCCTAAATCCCACAACGTATCTTTCCTAGTTCCGGCTACTCTAAAAACTGATCGTTCAAGAAGGACTAATGAGTTGGGACTAACTCAGATTGATTAAAATGAACATCATGAGCATAAATACATTTACAACGTCCTAAAAATAGGTTGAAAAGAACCACAAAATGATAAGGAATTAGCGTCTTTTGTCGGGGTAAAAATAGAGGATAGCTGTCGTGAGAAAATTCGGATTTTTCACCTTTTTAGATCGTCGTTCACTTTATACACTCAGTGAAGAAGAAATAAGTTAGTATAGTCTATTTCTTACACAGTTATCACTCAACCGCATCAACCCCCCTACGCTATCAGTAGAACATTATTTTGACTGGTGAAACGCACCTATTCTTGTTATTATAACACTCAAAGCAGTATTCATGAAGTTCGCATTCTCGTACTGCCCTTAAGGTAGATTACTTCACATAGTAATCATAAGACTTCATTTTTTTTAGACTGAGTGACGTGATAATTTGTATCAGCACACAATTGTGTATCTAGCATAAATTCTCTCATAAAGATCAATTGTAAAAACCAATTATTTAGCATAAAATTATCTTCAACGATTCCATTTCTCAGTATGGGGTTGTGGAGACTACTAGGTTTTTGATTGAGATCATGAACCAATTGATGTGAGACCATTGGAAACCTAAAAGCTCACTAGTGACTAGCTTCGTGAAGGGATTCTCGGAGTTCTAGTGAGAAGCCGTGACCAGTGGAGTCAATGCCTGTCCTGTAGGTGTCTACCTCATTACATTGGGAGATGGTCGCGCAATTTCGTGGATTGATTGAAGTTAGACATTAACACCGTTGGATACTGGCTCAAGTGGTCTGCTGAGGATTACCCCAACAGGATGAAACAGCTGTCCAGTATTTCCAGGTTTTCAACGGTGGTCTAACATCAATCAGTTCATGATCTCAATCAAAATTCCATTTCTCTGTGTCAGTGTAGTGAGGGAAAACTTGGTTAGAGCAAACAGATTTATTGTTTCTAGCAAAATCACATTCCATTTGTAAAATATATAAACAATACATTGAATACACCATTTCCCCATCTTCCTTGAACTGTCTCTTAGATACTCAATCGTTCTTCCATTCTTGTTTCTTCTCGGACTACTTCTGTTTTTTTATTTTCCTCAGTTTCCTCTTCAGTCAGTAAAAATCCTACTACCATACATACTGCTTATATGTATCCGTATAAGTAGCACGCACCACGAATAGCTCTTTGAGCGCAGGAGTGAAGAGACATCCTCACTTTTCTGCATAATATCAAAATCTATACTTCTTTTTTACTTCGTGTCTGAATAAATGTAAATGGATAACTTAGGAAGCTATTTTCCTATAAATCAGTTTATTTACTCTTTATATGTATTTACTTTAATAATTGATTCTTGATATGTTTTGGTAGTGCAGTAATTGAAAGTTTCCATTCGACCAATTTCCTGTTACTATATCTCTTCTACCATTCACAACTTACTATTTATTAATAATAAGCATGTTACTAAGATTTTGCACTGTAAATGTCCCTATTTTCGTGCGTATTGTGAATTATCATTCATGGTGCATCCATGGTCTTGTATTTAATGTATCAATCACATGAGGATTAAAGTTAGAATAATACAGTATAGTGTGAATTGTGAGTATCGTTCTCTTGATGTTCTAATTAATGGTTGGTTTGCAAAAATAGATTAGTCAATATGATATTGGCTGCCAATTATTTTGGCATATACACCAACTTACTAGTGTTAACTAATGCATAGTTGACAGAGCATAACGAGAAGTAATTCATAATGGTAATTATCCATGATATTTCATATCGATTCATTAATTTCGTTGTTATAATAATATTGACTTTATTCAAGATTATGTGTTTAGTACAATATTGAGTTCTCAGTATAGAGCTGTTTTCAATAATCGACCACTGACAACACAGAATAATCCTAATAGGCACCAGTTTCTGATTCAAATAAAAATTAAGTTTTAATAAAGTGTTTAGTGTATTGTATGTGCCACCTATTAATTTTACCATTCTAGATAAAACATATTGCATATTATTTTCATTTCTAATGCATAGTGTTATGCAGAAGTCTGGTAATCCTGTATATTTGTGGTCGGAAGATCCTGATCATGAAGTTTCCAAACCCGATTCATTGTCTTCTGTTCCTCGTAAGTGACAGTAGATTGATTTGCCCTAGTTTTTTATAAGCTTAGTATCTCTGTTTATTCACAAATAATTTATGTTTTGAAATGTTAGCGTAGTTTTTCTTATCAAACCTCTATAGTTTTGTTTATCTACATACTCATCCTTCATTTTGTGGGTCACTGATTCCAGCTCCTTTTCAATCAACATTAGTCTTAACATTCGCTTTTTCCCCGTATCCATCACAGATGTTTTGCTAGAAACGCAGTACACAAATCCATTTAAAGAAAAATAGCCATACCCCTCACTGTATCTGCTAGTTTGATAGACGGAATGTCAGCTTAACCTTATCTGTGGTTTGAATGAAGTAGGCAATCGGATGCATACTATATGCACTGTTTTCAACTCAATGAATGCACCTATTCTACTATCTGAATAAAACACGACTGTAGAGATAAGATTTTCTTCCTACCTGATAATGGACTAAGTGATAAGTGACTTTCTGTTTTTTTTTTACAACTCAGAATCTCGAATTATTGGTGAATTGTCCTCATCGGTATAATGACGGAATATTAAAGATGCCACCTTTGTTTATTCAGATCTAAACAATATATGCTGTGAACATCGATATGATTATTTCTTTAGTTTACATCTTAATAAATAACTAAAGTAAAGATTGTATGCTCAATTTTAAGGAGCCTCAAAAACTATATCCAATTTTATATTCATCAACTGTCACGACTAATTACAAACACTCAACTTGATTGGTATTTCGACTAGTTTATCCAAATGGAGCACAATAAAGTTGCTTATTTCAACTGAGACTACAGTAATCATCAAACATTCAGCAATGTTATACGACAAATTAAAACTTTACATTACAGATTTATTAGTTGCTGTTGTCAGCTTTTTTTATAAGTCTTAGGTGTAACTACATTTGAATGTCTAGTTGAGTCACCATTCTATTTAGAGAATAAGAATGAAACTAAATTATTTTAAAGTTATCTGAACCGACTAGATGTTATGCCCATAGTGACTCAGTATTCTGAAATATACCACAGAACGTTCAAAGTTCTTTTTGGTGAAGATCTGTAGGCGAACGACGCGATAAAGGAGCTTTAACTAACTCATTAGTACCGCTGAATGGTCCGTTTCATGGATCCAATAATAATACACAAAAAAGTACGGGCAAGTAACACCACACATTAAAGTGATTGTGAAAGGTCGTAGAAAAAGATTAATGCTTGACTACGTACATGGAATGGTACACATAGTTTAAATTCACATATTTAAATATGTTAAACTTTCATAAAAATTTGGAATTGTAAGTAACATCCACATGAAATTATTAGGTCGTTTTATTAATGTACACGATTTCAATATTTGCCATTACATATACGAGTCTTTCATCAATGTACATCTACTAAGTCACTTATTCATGTTTCATAAAATACATCAGTCAGTAATAATAACAAAAAGTTGCGTTCAATTTTCCTTCGTCTAATTCACTTCATCCACAAACTGAGTCGTCTCTGAATATTCAATAATTTTTACTGTTCCATTCACTGATTAATCATTTATTCATAAATTCAAATATATTTTTACATTTACCATCTCCTTTGTCTTTCTTTTCACAGTCGATACATCGACTCATTGAATTTTATTGCGACTAGAAAAATCACACATGTATTCGTGAAATATAAAGTTGGTGAAACTTTAATTCAAATGCTTCCATGCTTCTACCTAACTAAATTGATCCATCTTACTGTGTATTATTCTAAGCTTTCCAAGTGATTAACAAACATTGATTCCACTAAGTAGTTTTTGCTCTATACTCTCTCTTTCTCAACTCCTCCCCGTCTATCACTACATATATACATAAACATGAAATTTTATTCCATTTTTTATTTAAAAAAAAGAAAATTAGTAAGAAAAACTCATTTTCACAGTTTTTATCGCAGTTCCCTATTTAACATGTACATTGAGAGCTGAAGACTGTGCACACCTCCGTGTGTATTGATTCAATTTATTTGTTATTATTTAGTTATGATGATAATAATCATAAAATACCTCTTCGAATCTTTTTTCATCGCTATTCTAGTTGTTAATTCTGGTTATAAATTGTACAATTTTATGACTGATTAGTTGATTGATTGGTATTACATAATCAACATTAGATTTTGTTTCATTTTGACTTACTACTACTGTTTTGACATTATGCTTTCTGTGACACTACTAGTCAAATCCACTAAATACTCGGCGGTACTGTATTTCTATTCAGAGAGCTCTTGATTTAGTTCATTTAGTGGTGTTGACTAACAGTGACACAAAAAGCATAATGTCAAAACAGTAGTAGTAAATCAAAATGAAACGAAATCTAATGTTGATTATGTAATACCAATCAATCAACTAATCAGTCATAATATTGTACAACTTATTTATATAGTTTTATGATTAATCCTATGATTCGTTTTCTCCTTGCCCATCAAAGTTTTATCTCCTTGTTATCGCTTCTGTTTATTTGATGGTATACCAAGTAATCCTGTAATTTTGTAAGCTATACTTCGTGTATCCCCCGTTCCCTAATACTGAAACAACCTACTACTGTCTTCCTTATATATCCTTTCTTTCCCGGTACACGCGGATGAGTGCCATAATACTTCTTTATAAACAGGTGAAAATTTCTTGTTTTCATGTGTCATATCCACGGTCCCCAGTACATAAACCTCTTGCTAGTTTTTTTTGCACAGTTTTGCTGTTGTTCATTCACTGATGCTTTATCCGATATTTATGCGTGTGCCTGTACGCTTGTCCGCATTTTATATACCTGTAGGCTATGTGAAAGGAGCAAGACTATTTAACTTTTGTCTATCATATATTTCAATTGGTCATTCTTATTTATGATAATGATAGTAATTATTATTATTATTATTAAACGTTTGGTTAATTTTTATCTCATTTTCTTCTCTTCATTTTCTCTATTTAAATAGCTCCGTTTTAACTCGTATCCGTCATTGTCTATAATTTATTTATAATAAAAGAAATAAAGATTCATTAGTGACAATAGTGATGAAAATAACTATCTTTTTATATTACGCTTGTTGACCAGTTCTTTGGCCTATCCTCCTTATTGTGTATAAAATGTTCTAAACGAATTGAAGCACATAATTTACAAACTGTTAAGTTGTGCGCTACTTCTATTATGTACGTGTTGGCTTCGTTGTATCCACGGTCCTATTGCATATACTTAGAAACGAGAATCACTGCAATTCACACTACGCAAAATGAATGCTGTTTGATTTTAATTTGATGTCTATCATAAGGTCAAATGTTTAGGATATAAGCTCTTAGGGAGTTTTAAATTTATGCTAATATTGTCACAAGGGTGTGTTGTTAAGTAATTTGAAAATTTAGTAATTAAGAAAATGGGTCATTCAGGAAAAAAAACAAAAGAATTCAAACAATTTTTACTCAGAATATTCTGATTTTATTTCCCAGATAATAAATAGTCTACTCTTGACTTAATCTATTCCATTGCATGTAGTGATTTAATACGTGCAATTAAATCAGAGAACCTGGCACCCGGATTTAAATCACACGTGAATTATGACAATCTATTGAAAAAATGAAATTCGAACACACGCCTATCTTACTTCCGTTAAAAAAACCTAGTGAAAATACACAAAAATTATTGTTCAAAAGTTTACCTATTCACGCTAAATATCCATATCGGCAATAATGCATAAATCACAACTGTATATTTCGTCTTTTATTATATAGAAAATGTTTCCGAGATCATTTATACATTGTATTAACTCAATCGTACAGAAAATTTAATTCTATTAAAAATATTTCATATCTGATTAATTTGTATCAATGTAACAATTGAAGAAATTAGAAATAATAATTTTCTAATATTTGTGTATGAGCATAAATTAGTTGTTTAAACAAAACGTGTTATCTCATTTTCTTTGACATAAATTGTTCTGTTTTAAATTAATGGGGACGAAACAGACACGTACTTATAGGCATTCACATACAAATGAGAAATAATGACCAGTAGTTGAAGTGGAGCGTAAATAATAAAAAAGAACACTCAGGTTTGAAGCAGTTAGAAATAACCGTTCCTGTACATGGAGAACAACAGGAATTATTTAATACATGGGGAGGGTAGCTAGCAGTAGAATTTAAGACACATTTCATCCTATTCTGCACTCAATAGCTAGATATATCTGGATTTCGGAGTTGATGTTCACATTTAGACGTATTGAATCAAATTTCGGCATACGAAGTGGTAGATACTAGGTTCGAGTCTCAATGTAAGCATCAACACTAGGATACAGATACATCTAACCGACGACTCCCAAATAGGATAGAACGTACGTCTTGGATTCCACTGTTAGCCATAAAGCGATATACTAAGACATGTGATAAATGAGGTGTGTTCAGCCAATCACTCACGATGTACAAAGATGGACTAAAATATGAATAATTTATGATTACATTTGAAATCTAAGTTATTTCTTTGAACACATAAATATTGGTACAAGAGTGCGCCAAGTATATATGCGCCACACAGAAAAATGAGAATTTAAGTGGAAGGGAAAAAGAATAATAACGAAGAGATGGATGTAAGGTGGTGTAATAATAATAATGGTAAAAATCGGGGTACGGAAAGGTACAATCAGAAGAAATCTTTCAGTTGAGGAAGACACAAACACTTTTTATGAAGTAAAAGAAGGTTACAGCAGGATCGCCACTGGCTTCTATTCTGAGCCATATCTGATGACGTCTCTAGCCACTGTGTCTCACCATCTCTCGGACCCCAGCCAGGGAGTCGTGAAGGACCGACAGAAGCCAGTCCTCCGCAGCTTTCTTTCACCCCACGACACCATGTCATATACTGACCACCTCTCCGCATGTTCCAACCAGTTCCAGAGTCGGCAAATAATGCACGACGTGGAATTCTCTGGGATGACATCCGTAGAACATGCCCAAGCCACCGAAGTCGATGTTTCAAGATGGTGACACCAATTGCATTATCGTCTCTGTGCCCGAACACACGATGCCAAACCTTTGCATTACTAACATGGTGTTGCCACTGGATGTCAGCAATCCTTCGGAGACAGCGATGATCGAACACAGAGGGTCGTCTAACATCCTCAACTCGAAGTGACCAGGTTTCACAGGCATAGAGAGAAACTGTTCTCACCGACGTGTTGTAGATCCGACCTTTTACAACCAGACTAACATCACTAAGGCGCCAGAGATGACCCAGATTGGCATAAGCCACTCTGGCTTTCACTATACGTGAATCGATCTCATCACGCACGCCACCACCAGCACTTATGCAGCTGCCTAGATACACGAAATTCTCGACTACTTCTATCTGCTCACCATCCAGGGTGAGTACAGGATTAGAATCCCGCCAGTCTTGTAGAAGTACTTTGCACTTCGAAGGTGCAAAGCACATACCATACCTACGGACACTGATTGCCAACTGATTAAGTGCGGATTGCATGTCTTGGGCATTATCGCACAGTAAGACAATATCATCCGCATTCTCAAGGTCGAGAAGTCTTTCTCCAGGCAACAGATCCACACCGCCATTACTTACATTCATCAGCGTTCCCAGAATGTCATCGATGGCAAAGTTGAAGAAGAATGGTGAGATTGGGCAACCCTGCCTAACCACACTGCTTGAATGCAACAATGGAGAAAGGTGGTTGTATGCCCTCACTCTGTTTGAGTTGTTTGTATATAGGGCTTTTAGGATGTTAATAAACTTCTCAGGCACACCCTTCTTCAATAGACAATCCCAGAGAACAGTCCTGTCCAACGAATCGAAGGCAGCCCTGATGTCAAGAAACACTACGATTGTTGGCCTTTGATAAGTATGGCGGTGTTCTTACATTTGGCAGAGGGTGAAGATATGATCAATACATCCTCGACCAGAACGAAAACCAGCCTGCTCCTCGCGAGTCAATCTTTCTCTGGTTTTGAACAACCTACGAAGTATGACGGAAGCCAATAGCTTGGACGCAATCGGAAGTAGACTTATCCCCGATAGTTGTTACAGGAACGACGTGAACCCTTTTTAAAGATAGGGACAACTATCGACTCATTCGATGACATTGGTACACTCTCTAGCTCCCAAACCTTTGTAAACAACGTCATCAGTTACTTAGTCAGAAAGTCAACAACATCTTTAATAAGAGCCGGAGGTAAGTCATCTGGGCCAGGTGATTTGTAGTGCTTCAAGAGTTGTAGTTCCGTGCGGACTTCCGCCTCATTTGGTGGATCAGTCGTCACCGGCCATGGAGGGCAGGACAGTCTGACCGATGTTGCCGGTTGAACTGAGTTGGCACCTAAATAATTGTTAACTTTAACTTAAATCGATCCGTGGTACAGAATAGTGATGGCATGAAGTATAAACTATTTAAATGAGGTAAGGAGGTGATTTCTCATGATCTGGTTACATCCGCTGTAAATTAAACAACTAAATAGACTTTCGTGACTTGAAAATGTGACAAAAGCAGAATTTTTACGTCGTTTGAACTACACGTTATTTCATAAGCCAATAACCATTGACATTTCGTGTTCTTAAGTCACAGTTAATCAGCCGATCGATGTATGACTTAGCATCTTGGTTATTCATACGTGTTATGACGAGCTATTTTTAGCATGTGTTTTCCTGGTACTTTATATCCATCATCATACGTTCAGTGATCCTCAAACACAGGTATTTTTGGTGAACTGTAAGCGGACATTTTCGTAGGGCTATCGATTGCTTGACTGTATCGTTTTATTCTTATGGTGCTCATTGCTAATAGGAGTAGGTAGAGTTCAAAATACGTCTCATTAGTCTGGATAGATTTGTATTATAGATGATGTTAGTTGCTGGAGAAAACCCAATAGAGTTATAACTAACTCACAACACTAGCCCAACTTTTAAAACGTAAATCTAATCTTTTTCCTATATGGTAACTAGGAATTGTTTGTCATATTAAGAGCAGTATTTCATTTTAAACCATTCTTACTAGATATGGCTTCAGTTTTTACTCTTGTATTCACCTATGCAAAAAATAGTCAAATTTTGAGCAAAACAACGATCACGAAAGAAATTGAAAAACGAGTCAACCCAATGATCACTTTCATTGGTCAGTTGGTTGAATCACATTGTATGTACAAATATATATTATTCCCGTCACCTACAATCTACCCAGTGTTCAATTTTTTTCGAAAACAATTATTTATTTTTAAGTGGCCGTGATAGTGTTAGCTTAAGTCAAAACATTAAATAAAATGTTGAAAGTAAAGATCAGAATTAATATAGGTAGTTAAACTGAATTCACTACATTCATTCAGATGAGTCAATAAGTTCATTAAAGACTGATCAATAAAACTGTTATTTTCATCATCTTTGTATTTAGATCTGTGTGCATTGACTGACAAATATATATATATTTCACAAGTTCAAATCATGAGTCAATTGAAGCTAGACCACCATGGAAGACCTGGAAGCACTGGATGGCCGTTTCGTCCGATTGTGAGACTCCTCAGTAGTGCGAATACACGACCTCGCCCCCTGCGGGATTCGAATCCAGGACCTACTGGTTTCGCGCGCGAGCACTTAACCATGGGACCACTGAGCCATCCAGCGCTTTCAGGTTTTCCATGGTGGTCTAGCTTCAAATGACTCATGATTTGAACTTGTGAAATTTCTAAAAATCTCCACAAAACCCATTCCGATAAATATATATATATACTAGAGAAAGGTTAATACAAGATTTGAGAAACCGAAATAAACAAACATGGATTGAAAATTTAACACTGATATACTTGAATTCAGACATGTATCAGTTACAACAGTAAAGATTCGCGTATTTGGTCACGTTCGAAATTCATCCATAATTAAACATAAATTTACATGAATTAC